GAGAGAGAGAGAGAGAGAGAGAGAGAGAGAGAGAGAGAGAGAGTGTTTGTGTGTGTGCGTGTGTGTAATGAAAAAGATAAGCTCTAGGCACTGAATAGGATAAAGCTATACACTTCACACCATACCCACGATCATGTATGCTTCCACAGCATCACTTTTGCACATTTGCATGTATGATCAGGTGTGTGACCACATTGTTGCGGTTGTGCAAGTGTTTTTTTTTTTTATTCTTAAAAATCTGATTACTGCAAAGATGGATATTCTCAGGCTGTGATTGAGGGATGGAGTGAAGGAGTGAGTGGTAATGGGAAATCTATTGTTGTGAGGTGAGAATGCAGCAGGGAAAAGAGGAAGGAGGCCGAACCGCGTTTGGATATAAAAGCAGCACGGTCGCTCTGTGGTCATTCACTGATGTCAGTCCCTCTATCTCAGCATGCCCTCTACCTCTGCCTCGAGGATTCCACTCTATAACCACAAAAATGCACAGAACAAAACACAACTCACCTACTCTATTCCAGCAGCCGCTTGTTTTTAACGAGACCTTAGGCCAGTCCATTACAGACTTTGGCGGGGTGATGCAGCTCAAGAAAGAACATTTATGATCATTTCTTCATGGAAATGCAATCAGACCGACACGCTAAGGCAGAAGAACTACCGCGTTTGCAGTTCAAAATGATTATGGTGATTAGTACTTCAAGGAAATGATAAAGAAATTATCATAAATGTTCTTCCTTGAGCTGCGAAACTCCACTGCACCCTGTGATCGACCTGTCAAGGCTGCCCCACAAACAAACAAGCGGCTGCTGGAAAAGAGACGGTGAGTTGTGTTTAGTCTCTTTGCTAAAACAATTAGGCAAAGCTAAAAGATGTTTGGTCACTGGTGCTATGGCTGGGACCCTATATGTACTGTTGATGAAGTTAGGTGCTGTTCTGAGCATTATTTGTGGCTATAGAGTGGTGTTTTGGTTAAGGTGTGCGCATTGGCTCCTTAGACCTCTGTGTATTGCTATCGTGTGGTCGTTACTAAAGTTGGTAAAACTAGAGAAGCAAGCGGTCGGCAACATTCATCTCTTGAGGGGGTGTCTAACTCAGTGTTAGGGTTTGTATGACCCTAACTTAATTTCACGCCATAATATCCCTTTAAGTGAGCCCCTCAAGGGATCTTGTTGGTTCAATCCATAAAAAAAACATTGTGAAACTGGAACTCAAAACCCAAAGCTAAGAAAGACTCTGTGTTAGCTTTCATATTTAACGAATCAAGATGCTCAAACCACTTCAAAGCCCAAGTGAATGTCACATTTTGTTGCAAGCAGAAACTCCACAACTTCAACAAGAAAACAACAACGTCTCATTATTGTCCTTGAGCGTGTTTGTCTTACTGCAGCAGCTTTGTGTCCGCTCTCATGTGTATGAGCTCATATCCCCAGGGCTAGCATTTTGAAACGGGCACAAACTCAGTTGGGGTCCTGAAATGTTTGGAGGTGAGGAGTTTTGACAAAATCCGCCTTTGAAAAAGTTCTGTTGCCATTTCTTGAAAGACAAATACAGAAAAAAAAATATGGGCATGTGTGATGAGCACATATGGTATTTCTGTATGCACAGTGTGGTTTGTCTTTGGAAGTTTGTGCGTGCTCTGATGGGTGCTGGAAGAGAACCAGGATTGAAAAACTGGGTCAAACACTGAAGTGGTTTTCAAAGGTATTTTTCTGCAGAAAAAATGAGGAAAGGGGATTAAAAATTTTAGGAATGCAAGACAAAGGCGGAATGCTCGGTTTAAAGGTAGAAAAAAATGAAGGAAAGGTGTTAGGGAAGCAAACAAAACCGTAAGGATGGAACAAGGACGATGGCCACATTTGGCAGAGAGCCTCAAACCAGTTAGAGTTTCTTGCGTTTTGGCGCCGGTGAAAGCGGCAGGATTTTGCCGAGAGCTGGACAGGGATCCTTTGGCTTGGCTTTGTGTCATTTGCTGTGTTGAGTCTGACAAACACACACAGAAACTAAACTGTGAAGTAAATAAACCAATCTGCTAAAAACCCATCACCCTGTCTGTGTTTCTCTTTGTTTGAAGTATCCAGTAAATCATAGCGGCAGATTCAGCGTCAGTCTGAGCAAAGATGTCATATTCAATCTCACTGGGCATCAAACATACCCCGTAGTTACTTACATGTAAATAAGAAGTACAGGACATGTCGTTCTGTTTGTGAGGAACACCCGGGCCTTCACGCCGTTCCCTCTCATCTCCTCCAGCAATGATATGTAGACCCTATTACAACATGTAAATGACCCCCTGCTGTGCAATCTTACGCTATGATGTGACATACACGTGGAGCAGAAGTCATATTTAATAGAAGAATGAGTTTATGTGCTGGTGCGTGATGCCTCTCGACCTGTTACCGCTGCACGCCGTGGATGCGTGTGTGATCGTGTTTGCATTATGCATCTGAATATTACATGTGTGTTAGATTTGGGCTGTCAGAATTAGACAGATGTAGCGTTTTATTGGGAAATTACAAGTCACAAGAAGAAGAGGAGCATCCTCAGATCAAAGACAGCACTTACTTTATAAGACACACATCTGAGCGCAGAGGAAGCTTCGAGCCCATTAAAAGTAAGATCCCACTGTGTTTGCAGGGATCCACTCAAAACTATAATGGCTGATTTTGGGCATGTCGACAGATTATTTGGACTTTCAACTGATCAAACGGTTCTGTTGCATGTGGGTAGTGTCGGAACTAGGCCAGCCATTGTTAAACCATTGGTCAGCCTGAATGCGATGTGGACTCCTCGAAGAAAACTCATTTAATTAGACACTTTGAAATAATGACACCTTGTTTATGTTGCCTCTAAACAAAGTGTCACCTGCCCAAACCATAGACTATATACACTATAGACAACTTGGTTCCGCCTTCTGCCAGTGTACGAATTTGGCAATGCTGTTTCTCACTTCAGCTCAACTGAAGTGAAAAACGAACAAATCACTTGAGGAAGTGATTCGGTTCAGTAAGTTCACTTAAAAGATTTGGTTCTTTTGAACGAATCGTTTGCGAACGACACAACACTACTCGGCTCAAAACAGCGTATCCCCCGGGCGAGCTACGCAATCTCCATATGCCCATAGGCTGTATCAAGTGTCAATCATAGAAAACATGAATCCCCTAATAACTTTCAAAAATGGAGCTGTACAGAAAAAAAAGAGGACTTGAGCACAAACCAGTCTTACAATAACTACGTCAACATCGCAAGCGGGGGGGGAAAAAATTAGGTTCTGTGTAATAAATTTCTAAAGTTTGTCCACAACTCCATTAGGATAGCTGGAGGAGTTAGGATTTATGACCTATACTGCAGCCCATCACCAGAGGGTGCTGTTCTCTCGGTGGCTTCACTCTGCATGAGGCAGCAGCGTCCATTCTATATACAGTCTATGATCCAGACAGCCTGTTATTGCTGGAAATTACCTGAATGCAACCAGACGGCTGAGGTCGAGTCTTTTGATGAGTCTTAGCTTTATTGTTTGATTCATTACAAAAGACCAGATTATTGCCATTTCTGAGCAAACGTATCAAACACTATCCTCAGTGCTGATGTATTTTTATCACAGTGTCAGTGCAGCGAGTGTCCATGTACTACTCTTACGACCATTATCCTTTTCTTTTAATATGAAATCTGTTCATCCCAACATGAAAATGAAACATGTTTCTCCCTTCAACATGACTCAATGAGATTTTCCTTTGTGTTAGAAGTTGTGAAGCTTATTTGATAAATGAAAACAGCTCATAATCAGCCTCCTATTCCATCCACTACCATTAACTACTTTCACCAAATGGAGCAAACACCTTGAATGTGTTTGTTTCTCCAGAAATCTCTATGTCTCTCTTTTCTTTTGATGGTACCATTTTGAGGTCCAACCCTGTTTTCAGCAAAGCTATAACCAAAAGATAGAGCTCTGAAGCAACAAAGTGCCCTAATTGCTATATTGGCCATGACAGCCTTGTTCTTTTCTTTCATCACTAACACACTCCCATCAGCCATTTCTCTGCGCTCCCACTGTGCACTCATCTCCCCTCTTCAACATTTTATCCTGCGACAAAGGAGAAAAATGGTCAGCCTTACCTGGAGTTTTAAAGAGAACTGTTTTTTTGAACAGCATCTGCAAACACACAGGTGCATTTAATTACTCTGTGACATCTTCTCATATCCGCTCTTAATGCTGGAGGTCATATATTTATTTTCAGTAGTTTTGTCATCTTGGCACAAAAGAAGTAAAATCCGAGTTATTTATAATGATGTAAAACATATAGTTCCAGGAATATGAAACCTTGGAGGATGGCTCATATTGAATATTTTAGCATGGTGCTCAATTCAAGCCATTGTCTCCGCCTCTCCCGGAGGAGCTGGCCTGTAATGTGTTTGGTTTAAGCATACAGGTCAATAAAGGTAACTGATAAGCTCTCGTGTGGATGTATGGTGATGAATGACGGATATTTCTAGCGCAATGAATCAAGAGTGCACAGGAACCATAAATGAACGCTTGTATCCCTCGCCTAATGGGAATAAGCATAAACTTATCCCGCAAAGTCAATGTGCTTTACAGTGTTGGTCGTACCGCTGCGTTATTGGTCCATCACTTACACTTTATGAGCAGCTCAGCATTGGTGGCCATGTCATAGATTATTGGCAAAGTCCATTGATCTGCCCAGGGAGGTGATGGAGACGAAGCATCAATCATCATGTTAGGCCTTGGAAGAATAAACTAACAAAGATGCTTTCTATTGATGCAAAGAGAGAAAATCAGATAGGATAGTGTTAGCCGTATCTAACAGGGATTCAACACCTTTGAAGAAAATGTGCTTATTTCTGTGTATTTTCCTCTGTAATTGATTCCTTTATATATTTCTCCTTCAAAAGCAAACTTACTGAAAAAGTATCTTTCCTCCCTCGGCAGCTGTGGTCATATAAAATAACGCTACCCCCTGGTGGTTAAACAAGAGACACTGCAACACTTGAACCAAAAACAACTTAAATTTTAATGAAAAAACACCCCATGGCAATTTAATCACACATAAACAACTCAACATGGGACCTTCTCCTTACATGAGAACCACACTGACACAAACACAGACAATGAAACTTTGATCTCACTCCTAAGCGTTCAAAATACATTCAACATTTAAAAAACATCATTATTTAAGGAAAAATAGAAACTTTGGCATTAGCAGAATTTGTAGCTTATTCACGTTTACTGTCAAACTTCAGGTAACAGTCGCCACATACGAATTTGCATTTTGATGGGATACCAGCTGAGATCAAATTTTCTTCTGTTCTTAAAATTGAGTAAGTCGTCTTACAGAAGTCATCCATTGTGCAGTGCTGTGAAGCTCCCTGTCAACAGATCAGAACTGTTACCAAACATTTAGGGAGCAGGTGACATCGCCAATCTCTCCTCTGCTCTCTGTCTGCAATACACATGCAATATAACGTGTCTAAGAGACGCCATCAAAACTTGAGTGTTTGCTGACCTGTGAAAGAGAGCATTGGTGGTGGAGTGGCTGTGACGGAGGGCAGCGCAGAGAGACACAGCATGCAGAAAGACGCACAACTTCAACTTTGACCTCACATGCAGTTTTGTAGGAGAAATCTAAATGTTCTGTTTCACAGTTTTGTTTACTGATTCGGTGCTCTCTCCTCTAACTTCATCACAATGCTGATTGATCACTGCTGCTCTTAACGGGTTTACAAGTGTCATTGTGTTTTTTCTACTGGGCATCAGTGCTTTTTGACACAATCAAACATAAAAAGAACTGATATTGTTTCTTCTTAAAACACACCGTGTTAAAAAGTATGAAAATATCTGGATTTTTGACAACTTAACTGAAGACAGACATTAAAATCACCCTGTTTCGCTTGATTTGATTAAGTTCTAGACAACTCATGTAACAGATAATATATCATAGACCGATGCTGATAAATGTAACAACCTAGAAAAATATTCCAGCAGTCAGAAAATTCACTATATTCATTATAATCCATGCTGAATGGGATGATTTCTAGTGTTTATAATGGAGTGTTCTGATAATTGAGAAAGTGGTGCAGTGCGTACTTCTGTAAAACAGGCTCTGCTAAAAGCCTTTGTCCAGTTTTGATGTTACTTTTGTCTCTTTTAATAAGAGTTTCTCATAAGGTTCAATATATATTCTCCAATATGGAAAGACAATAGCTGCTCTTCCAAACTTTATAGATCTGACTGGATTAAATAATTACAAGGAAGAGGCTACAAGTTTGTTAGTTATGCTATGACAATCCCTGGTAAAACACATGGTAAACATCCACGTGTACTCATCAGCTTTCACAACTTTCTTCAGTACTTTGCTACGAGGCTTTTTCAGCATGACCTGTAGATTTCAGGCCTTTACATCACGCTCTTATCCAGAGCAACTAAAAAGATCCAGCTGTCTTATTGAGCTTTATGCAGCTTTTCACTTCAGTCAAACTCTCCTTTTGGCTTCTTTCCAGTCATGGAGTTTCTTTTTCGTCACCGTCCACGTGAGGTCTTCCTGTTGACGTTTGCCAGGCTGTGTGCCAGTCTCTTTGTGAAGAGCGGGTAGGATTTACCACAGTACGTGTGTGTTGTCCTTTGGAGTTCTTCTTCCACTGGTTCCAGTAAGGACTTCATGGGGTCCGCACCAAAAGTGTACTGGAAGGACAAAATATTTGAACATTGAGTATGAAAAACACACTCTGACGTACAGGATAGCCTTTTTTTCTGCTTGGATAAGTAACTCTAAATGTAAAGGCAGATTTGTAAAGTATGGAGGAGGTTTCCACAGAAGACAACTTTTACTCTTTCTGTGCTGGAGCACGGGGGTGGTTGTCTAAAGGCTGTGTTGAGTGGGTTCAGGAAACTTCAAATGAGCAATTGAGATCCCAAAGTACCGTCCAAACTCCCCTGAGGATGGCTCTCACCCTCCTACGATTCCTCAGTGATTGATCAGGTTCCCTCCTTAAGTAAGATAAGTGCTGCTGTGGGCAGCATTTGGGCTTGGAAGATATCTGCCCCAGGATAAATTAAAAACTAAATCCAAGAGACATGCTGGACTCAGTTGGGACTCCAAATCTAATCTGATAGGTCAGCTGGGCACAACATAAAGCGGACTGGGTTCAGTTTTATGCTATAGGCTTAGCGTCCAGTGATAACAGAGGATCAGAGAAGGAATTTCATGTCTTCCCAATAATGAAGGAGCCTTTACAACGCTCCGAGGAAATCAAAGGGGAATTACCATTTTTTATGCCAGCTCATTTGCTTGCGCTTGGGTCCCTGATATTGGGTCACAAAGAGAATGGCGTTTTTACGAGCACATACTTACACACATACACACAAACACGCACACACACGCACACGCCGGTCATAAAGTTGCATTTACAGTTGCTGTATTGATTTTGTGCGGCTGATGGGGCACCCTTGGCGTGCAGACTCCAACTCTAAACGTACCACCGGTTGTAAAATTTAACTGCTGCTTCTTGGGCTCTGCTTTTTGCAGCGCGGGGAGGGAGGAGATGCTTTATGACGGACAGACCGCCGTGGTCTGTGAGAGGCAGACAGACAGGGAGGAGCACTGCTGTGTGCGCTTCATGGTCCTTTGTGTGAGAATACAGGGCCACAGGCGCTGATTTAAATGAAGTGGTGTCAAGTTTATCAAAACAATAACTCATTTCAAAAGTGGAAATAATTCATTCAGAATACGCTGGTGATAGTTCTGAGTTCCTCTTCACTGAAATGTCAGAATTGGCAACTTTTATTTATTTTATATGATTTTAAAAAATAAACATTAACAGATTGTGGAGCTATCTGAAGATGTAGTGTTTTTTTTCTTCCAAATTTGGGATTTGTAGATGATAAAAAGAAGATATTACATGATGAAATTATTCATATGCTGTAGCTCAGTGGTTCTCAAGTCCAGTCCTCGAGGCCCCCTGTCCTTCATGTTTTGGATGTTTCCCTGCTCCAACACACCTGATTCAAATCATCAGCTCGTTATCAAGCTCTGTAATGGCTTAATAACGAGCTGATCATTTGAATCAGGTGTGTTGGAGCAGGGAAACATCCAAAACATGCAGGACAGTGGGCCTCGAGGACTGGACTTCAGAACCACTGCTGTAGCCCAATATAAATGACAAGTTCATTACCGTATATTCTTGGGCCTGACCGATTTATCGGCTAGCTAATTAAATCGGCCAGTTGTAGCCCGTTTGAGACTAATCAGTAATAGGCCAAAACTCGCCGATTTTCGCCGATATTTTCAGAAATAAAATGCAGAGAATATGATTCGATCTCACTTTGAAAATGTTCCACCATTTGAAAAGTTCCCTGACTTATCCTGTAGATGGCGCAGCGACCTCATGACAATCTTCATCCACTAGCTGAAAACGCTTTTCTGGTCCGAGTTTGATCTGTCGGTCTTCCTGTCGGCGTGAAGAGCAGTAGCCTACAGTATATCATTACAGTATATAGAATACTGTAGATATCTAGAGTATATATATATATATATATATATTTTTTATAAGTTGATAAAAATAAAAAATTGGACGATTAATCGGTAATCTGACCCCATCAGCTTAATATAACATGTTGTCTATTGTGTTTAAAGTCAACACTTGTGTCAGTTAGAGTTCACAAATATGAACTCTAACTGACACAAGCCTACTGTTTCTGCTGTTTCTTCAAATACCTGAACAAGGAGCTTCTAGAGCTGTTTTGTTTCTCCTAATAAAGGTAAAAGAGGTGCCATTTAAAATTAACACTATGCTTGATGCAGAGGGAAAAAACAGAGGACAAGAAAGATCAACACATGTTCTCTCAGTGGCCATTCCACCTCTACCTCTACCACCAGAGCTGGTCCTGAATCACACACCTGATCCACATTAGTCATCAGGCCAAGTATAACTCAGGTTTCTCAGCGGTGCTCACACTTTTGCCAAATTTTCACTGATGCCTGAGCTGGAGACAGCTCCCATTTCTCTCCTTGATCTCTGTTTGAGGCTTTTCTCTTTTTAATCTTCTCTGCACTTCTTACTTTCTGCTGAGTGTGTTTGCCTGATCTTCAGGCAAACTTTCATACTGAATTATAAGGAGTGGAACCCACTTCTTAATTAGACAATTTGTGACAGTCACGGCTTCCTTTTTAAGCCTTTTCCCTCTGTCAGTTTCTGATCCCTCACCAACTATCTGTTTTTCTCCCCAACACTGCCCAGATACCCTAAAGGTTCTGCTATACATGAACAAGCAAAAACAAATGAAATGGTCTGCCCGCTGAGGCGAAACACACAAGATCAATCCACACTCCTGCATCCTCCAGACTTAATCACATATCTATGGACGTGTCAATACCGTACACAGGCTGTGAGGAAAACTGTGTTTTAGTGCATACTCTGGGCCCTCATGCAGGGTTTATGCTCAATAGAAGCAACATATGCACCACAGGTACAAGTTAAGCAGATGCTGCTGACATTGATCCGGTCCTATAAAGTGGTACTTTTAACTGCAGGCCATAGATAAGCTATGGATAAGCAATCCCCCTGATCTGTGTTCAATGCTTTGTTAATAAGAAAGCAATGAGACTCCACACAGTGATGGCTTCATTAAGTAAATGCCACTGGAGCCGTCAATATCATCCCACCCTGGTAAACAACCTATAAACATCCTCATGGGGGAAATTACTTTCAGTCAAACCTCTGCAATATGGTGCTGATTTGTGTTTCCATTGGAGACAATCTGAAGACACAAACACTCAGGGTGTTTAGGGTCAGCGCCAATCCAAAATCTAATCCAGGAGGATAAAAGAAACGACAAAGTAGAGAGGAGCAGGTGTGTCACTGGGGTTGTAAAAAGGGCTCCTTTCATCAGACAGCGCACTAAATTACATCTACGACACTTTCAGAAGGCTCGGAAGGCTCTTTTTTAACTTTAATGGACCCGGGAGACTCTTAATTGGGTGCACTTACTTGTTTTGAGTCACCATTGTAGCAGACAATTTATTTCCCAAAAGGCCTTTTAGAGATTATGCTAACTTTCTGCAGTAAGTATGGACAGATGGAAAGAAAACTTGTAAAACAGCCTCCAAGAAAAGATGCCAGAATCCCCTAACCAGGATGGACTGGATTACAATGATGCATTTACTCTTTTTATCATGATATCCCCGTATTATGCATATTTTTTTGTTCCTAATCCACTTTAAAAAGAACTGCTACTCTTTGACTTGTTCTGTATAGTTTTTTTTTTCAACTACTATAAAAGATCAACAAACACAGGCAGAAAAACAAGGACATCTTCAAGTCTTTCATACATCGTTTCTTAGTTTTGTGATGGAGGCGACTATAACAATAAAATCTTGACAATATCAATCCTGGTGCAGTTAATTTTATGTACAAAAGGGAGCGCTGGATGATAATAATAAATCTTGGTCGTTGAGTCATCTGCTGTTGGAGTCGGATGTCAGATTGCGCTATTTAAAGTGCTTTTACTCTCTTTTGTGTGTAGTTTTAGAGGTTTTATTTTTTAGGTTTTAAGTATTTTTGATCTGATCTGTCAAAACATCCCACTTTGCTAGATCAAGATTGGAAAAGACTCTGGAGCAGCTTTTAGCTATTTATTTTATTGTTTCTATTGTTGTTGTTGCTTTAATACATATTTGAATGTTATTAATCAAAGCCTAAATACAGACAAGTGTGTCTTGTGGGGTCTGTCTTACATTTTAATTCACACATAAAAGCATGCTCACCTTTCGTATGGCCTCATAAACAGCCCTGAAAGCAGGCTGTTTGTGGTCGTGGTAAACCCCTCTGTTTCCATGCAGAATGTAGATGCCATCTTCTTCAGCTGAAGCACAGTTACTGCCGTAGATACAATGATCCGGACGATAATTCCACTGACAGGGAAACTCCAGCAAACACTCTGAAAATTAACATTAAAAATGAATGTTAGTGATTAAAAGTATTCTGGGTTTTTACCTTAGTTTGGGTCTTTTCTGAATGATACATAGGCGTGGTGTAGACTTTCACTGCTATGCAGATGACATGCTGATGTGTCTCACATTATGTCCTGTCTGACTGAAATCAAGATTTGGATGTCTGAAAATGTTCTGCAGGTGAATGACTCCAAATCTAAAGTTATTGGCATTACTGTCCCTACCCTTAATTCCAGCTACATTAATAATCCGTCCTCCTGCCTGGGTGTCTTGTTGTCATTTTTGACTCCGACCTTTCTTTTGACACCCAGGTGACCAAAGTCATGCCGTCCTGCTTTTGCTCAGCTTTCACAGTAAAACAAAACCAGGTCTTTTCTGTTCTCTTGACATTTATTTATCCCAGACTGGACTACTGTGATGCACTTTATTAAAGCACTGGTTAGCACAACAGAGACTACAATTAATTCAAAATGCTGCCGCCAGATCTCAATCGCTTAGCCTTGAGGCAACAATAAAACACCAGTCCTTCCTGCCCTTCACTGGCTCCCTGTGAGGTTTAGAATATATTTTACGAGATTTCGGCTTGTTTTTCAACTCTTAACTGGTTTAAGCTTGTATCTGTGAGCTGCTGACTTCCTATGAGCCTGACCACAGCCTGAGGTCCTCTAGCAGGGCCCTTCTTATGCTTCCTCGACTGGTCACAAGAGGTGATCAAGAATTTGCTGTTCGTCTCCACAGCTGTGAGACTCTGCCTGAGGGTGTCTGACAATCTATTTGTCCTCTTTTAAACCATTTAAAACCCAATTCTATTGTTTGGTGATCTCGATTATTGTTATATTGTATATGTAGCCATAGATCCTATCAAGTATTGGATCACACTTATTTGTAATCTGTAATTAGTTATTTGTTTGAATTTTTATCAAACTAGCTTGTTGGTAAATGGCTTTGCTCTCTTCAAAAGTGTAAAAAAGGCCTGACTGACAATTAAATCTAGTCACAGTTGAAGTTTTTATAAACAAAAATGAGTCACATGACTACAATTCATTAAAAATTCATCAGTATCAGAATAAACTAAATGGAAACACAACATCTCTGATATTTTTTTCAATCAGTGCAACCCATACACGAAAGTACACAACTAACACTTTGTTTTCATTGTGCCATCTTACCAGGGTTGTGATGAAAAATGATATTAAGAAGGTCCTGGTCTCCCCAGGTTATGTTGAGTTTATACTTCTGGAGTAGAGGCATCAGCAGCTCCTCCCAACGCAACCCCACTGCTGTCATATCATTCTGTCAGATACACAGGCAGAAACACCCTTCAGTGTGTCAGGTTGTTGCTCATTCAAACAGCATCAACTCTGTCCTTTCAGTGGCTTTTCTACTACAGCACGACGAGGCCATCTTGTGGCCAACAAAAGTAATGATGTGTTAAAGTGTGTCCTCTTTTTCTCACCTTAAAAAACATGGCCCTCATCCTTGTCATGTTCATGAGCATGACACCCGAGTTGATGCCCGTCCTGCCATAGAAAGGGTGGCGAGCGAAGCGGCTGTACCAGGCGATACGGGGCTCCTCGTGCTCTGGGGCCATCGCAGCAAGCTGTGAGGAGTTAAACCGGGACAGGAAAGCCCAAAGGTGGTCTACAGGCTGCAGGAAGAGGATGTCAGAATCCACGTACACAATGGAGTCAACATCCTTGAGGATCAGCTGGATGAGTTTGAAAAAGACACAAAGGGATAGATGTCAGAGGATGTTAGAAGCTCCAGTGATCTGAATGATGTGTGGTGGCAGTTATTTCTGAAAAAGACTTTTTCAAGGAGAAGTAACTTAAAATAAATCACTTTTATTTCTTATGTTGAGATGAATCATTTTGAAATCATGTTCCTAACTATAGAGGAGGAGCAAAAGTATAAGGTGTATGCATTTTATTAAAGCATTTTTAAAAATTATTTAGGGCTCCACATTTTCACATTTTTGGAGTGATTTTAAAGAACTCTTAAAAATTTTTAAGTCTAGTATTTTCACTCATTTGTCTTACAATCAAAAGTGTGATTTCTAGACTTACTGGCAAAAAGAGCCTCTGAGAAGCACATGGTTTGAAGAGTTTCTTCCACTCGGCTGCATTCTCACTGGGAAAGCTGATAGAATAGACTGTGTAGTTGAACCTAGAGCGGATAAAATCAGGCCACGACTCCAGCTGGAACACACACACACACGCCCAAATTAGATGGCTATCAGAGATGTCTTGAACAAAGATTAAAAATCAGTCTTTTTTTTTCAGTGTATGTTTTTTAAACTCACTGCCTCCATGAAACTGGCATGCAACTGATCCTCAGCGAAGATATGCAGGGAGAGCTTCTTAATACTGAAAAGCACAGCCGATTTGATCATGGTGAGAGTCTCCTCCAGCCTCTCCCCACAGGCCACTACAGCCAGGTGCATGGGAGGATCAGGTTTGCCACCAACAGCCTCCACCTGGCCCCGCTGACGCATGATGTACCTGAGGGAGAAGACAGAAAGTCTTACCAAGTGAATCACATGTCAGCTATTCTTTGCTCCGAGACTTGTTCGTAGATTTAACACAACAAATCCTATGTATTAAAATATCTGTTGGCACATTACAAAAAGCAAATTGTTACTCATTTGGAGGTCATATAAAAGAAAATCCTTAAATATTGATGAAAACTGGTTGAACTATGGTTTGACATCAGCTTCACCACCAAGAAACAATCTGTTTACTTTCATATGCGTACCTGCCTGTAGTTTCTACACAACTTAGAAGCAGTCTGACAGACAACCACTAACTTGGATGTTAGGCTGGGCGATAAAACAATAGCGATATATATTGAGAATTAAGTTCCCTCAATATCAATATACAACGTGGTCAATATGCTTTTTGGTAGTCAGCATTCTGCCATGTTTTGGTAGACTATACGAATAGCCAATGAAAAGGGGAGTTGCTCCAGGTCTGCTTCACCAATCATGTGCTAAATTAGAACTAAGTGGCAAAACACTGCTTAGTAGCAGGCTGCAGCTACATGCAACCATAGCACTTTCGGTGAGAAAAAAAGGAATGAGAGCTTCCGCCGGCAGAAATGCAGATGAAGGCTCAACAGATGAGGACATTGTCGACAACACAGGTGAGCAGAGCGAGGAGCCCACGGCGCCTGTACCACTGAAAAAGCCAACCATTCAGTCCACTTTCTCTAGTGCATCGCCTTACAACCAGTGTTTTTTCGTTGACGATGACGTTGATAATAATATTGCGTGATTGTCAATGAAACAACACTGCAAAACATATGTTTAGCATTTGACTGACAAAATGCTCATGAATTTTGCAACTCTGTTCGTGGTCCACCACTAACGTTTTCGTCTAGTCTTGTCAACGTAAACGCACATTCTTTTCATCACATTTTAGTCATCTAAGACTTATGTTTAGCTCGTCAATGTCACATCTTTGTCGGGGAAAAAAAGCCGTTAGCGGAAAAAACACTGCTTACGACATAACTTAAAAGAGACACAAAGTCCTCACGGATGCATTAGCTTATTGTATTGCAAAAGACATGCTACCAATAAGCACTGCTAAATTTCATTTTTTTAATATCGTGATATATATCGATATCCGCTGATATGAAAAAAATATATCGTGATAAACTTTCTCCCATATCGCCCAGCCCTACTTGGATGTATTCATGCCTGTATAGCTGAGTTTGGGTCACTTTTCAGCAGAAAACAGAAACTTTTTGGTGCATGATTCAGGAATACTGTGGTGAAAAATGTATATAAAAACAAAGCTGTATAACACATTTCCACTTCCACTCCATTTGGGCTACAGTCCCCTTTTTACAATGTAATAAGTATTGAACATGCTAACAGAAGCCTCTTTCTACCAAACCTCTTCTTTAAAATTAAGCTAAAATGTACGGCTGGTTGTAGCATATTATTAATTTTTCGCTGCAATTTGAAGTCTCGCACCTGTCCAAGTCTCGCGTAACTCACATGAACGTTAGGTTAAACTGAGTGTAACGTTACTAGAGATGCATCGGAATGTGACGCAGCCTGACTCAACGGCCAAACACAGGCTGCTTATCTACATCTGAACTCACTCTCCCTAAAGGATACTATGTTTTTCACCCAATTCTATCCCAATGATTCAGCAAAAGCACAAAAACACAGTTTTACCTATTGTACCAATGTGAGCTCTGGGGCCCGGTTTTGTCCGCGGCCCCTTGTCTCCCTCCGGGGACTCTCGGTGGGCTGAAAACCTTCTTCGCTCCGTTTCCTCCGACCGACACGTCCGAGTAAAGCAACCTACTGTAAACATACACACCCGAAAACACGGCAAACACCATGCACAACAGGAGTGCACGAATGTAACGCCGCATTATGGAGTTTGATAACGCAACTCGGAGCCAAAGTCATGACACAAAAACTAACGTATAACAACATTTAACAAAGTCAGCGCGAACGGAACGCACTTCCGGTACGCATTTACAGAATAAAACTTAATAAAATGGTGGCTTACACGCTTTCCTGTGGCAAAGTCATATGCAGCGTCGGTTTTATGAATTTTTCTTTATTCCTTGAGACAAAATATAGGGGTATTTTCTTCAGTATATTATCATTAGTGCCGTTAAGAGTAATACCTTACTGGCGAGCAAGAGGGGAACTAAAAGTTAGCTGTATCAAGGGTGCTGCTATTCATCAATAATGGTACCTTTTATAAGAGTCAGTTGGCATAAATTACAACATTTTATCAACGACTAATTAATTAATTAGAATTTTGGAATGAAAATAAAGTCGTTTAGATGGCCACGTTTGGATTTCATATTGTTTTATATCGAAACTGGCTCTTGCTAACAATTGCAAAAGAAAGCTTGAGACATAGATAGATAGATAGATAGATAGATAGATAGATAGATAGATAGATAGATAGATAAGCATTATTGCAGACTCTTGGTCCAGTTAAGAACACAAACCAAGCTAGTTAGTATTGAAAATATATATCACTAAAAATCCTTGAGGTAGTTAAAAGTTTTCCCAGAACAGAGGTAGCTTAAGAATTTGTCGTACTACAGCATAGATTCTGGTCTCGCTATATTATTTAACACATTTCGAGTCCTATTTCTCTTATGAACTCACCGTCGTTTTTCATTTTCATTATTTGTTTTATTTTGAAGGCGATAAAGAACTTCCGGCTCTCGCCTCCCCTCGTCTGCTCTATAGATGCACATTATGCTTGGGAAGCCGGGGGTCGGGACCCCAAATTGGGGGAAGGGTGGGAGCGCTGAGCGAAGTTGATTCCTCCGTCTCCCTCCCCCTCCTCAGGCACCGTCTGCAGCAACTTTGAATTGATTTCACCTCTGAAAAGGGCCATTCAGGGCTTTAAGTGACTACTCGTCTCTATTTTAGTGGCTCTTTTGACAAAAGACCTGAAGGCCAACTGCACGTTCATGAAGGGTGGGAAAAATGAGGTAATCTACTGATTCAGTGGATGATTCATTTCTACTCCTACATGATTTTTACTGAAGGCCCCAATAATATGCAAGTTAAAAAGATGTTCACCAGGTGGAGCTAAATCAGCAAAATATGCTTCAAATGTTTGAGCAAAGATAGAAACAAATACAAAAAATGAACCAAACTTTAAGTCAACAGTTTTCAAAGTAAATAATTGTGCACATAAGGAAAGGTACCTTTTGTTTGTATTTTGATATTTTCTTATTCCGACATGTAATAAACAAGTTCACACATTTAAAACAGTTGAGCATGGCAAAGCAAAACCAAAAATATCAACATGTGACACCAACATATTTCTAAGTGTCAATTTTTGCCACAACTGAATGTCAAACATCCATCCAAACAGTTGCCACGAGTCCACGCACCTAGTCCCAGCTAGTGTGGTGAACTTGTGAGAGAATAAACAATGCTAACAAACTAACATCCTGTCTTACAATATACTGAGACCATAATATTATCATGCCATGACAGTTCTCAGGATCTGTGCTAAAATGGGAAAGCAAAAATATCGACAGTAACACTGGTATGATGGATAATACAACCACATCAAAACATTGTAGTACAATATTTTTAGAAATATCCATTTTTATCTGTGTCATAATCTACAGGATCTGATAAGTTATTGTATAGTAAGGTTGATCTATAAGTTGTTCTGCTGGGAAATTAGTGTTTTCTATAGCTCCACCCACTTTGCTACATCAAAATGGAGGAACTCAAACAGTTCTTGTAGTTCATCTCTCCGCAGGTCTTTACCTTTGCAGCTGATAAATGTGCACGTCCAGTCAGCAGGGGTCTTTATTGTGTTGCTCCGTGATGGGTCTGCTGGAGCAGAGCAGTATGTGCAGCCTTCAGCTTTCCACGCAGATGCTGTGCGGCCCTGTTCACATAGCTCTTAAAGGCGAATACTGGTGTGGTTTACAGAAACAACCACACAACCTCCCTCTAAAATCGTATCATATTCAGCTCTTGATTGAAGAATAAAAGCAAGCAAGCTGAATGATTTTGCAAGAGGAAAATTGGGGAAATAAGGAAAGAAACTGAGGCCCGAGAAAGATTTTAGCTAAGAAGGCCTAGGATTTTCTGATTCACATCAACTTCTATTTTGATGATGAGACTCTGATTCATAGAAGCCCAATATTGATCTGTGGAAATATCCCCCTTCTAGTTGATCAATTGTGGACTGGATGGGATATTCAATGAGCTAACAACATTAAGCTTGCTGGGGTTGAACCTAATAAATGCAATTTGTGTCAAAAATTGATGTTGCTGGAAGTTCTGGGATTGCTTTGTCTTATTTTCTTTCAGAAATGATGGCCATGTGTAGCTTGTGCTCACTAAATAATCAAAAAAATATGACAGCATCTTTTCCTGGCCTTTAAAGAATCAAACTACTTCTTACCACTGCTGCCATTCAAAGCAAAAAAAGGACTATTTGAACATTTGCACAATAACAAATATTCAAAAAAACACCAGTATTATCCTTTAAGTCTCATAATAAACCGTCCTGTACCACTCAAAAGACGACCTCCATCAAAATCTGCCTGGTGCCTGTACACTGCTATAACGAGCTCACACCAAATTCACTTCTGCTGAGACATCAGATCTTACATCATAAAAAGTCTTGCTTCCAGCAGGGGGAGTTAGGAAGTAAAAGTCTGGAGTATAAAGATCAGGAGCAAAGGGTTGCAGTGAGGTTTACGGTTCAGTACAAGGACGCTGATTGGTTATGGTCTTTGACAGGAGGGTGAAGATTCTGGATGAAGGCTGAAAATTCCACATGGAGGAAGAAAGCTCACTGCCCCTGCCCCCTGCCTCTGAAGATGATGTCAAGGGTGGGGCTGCACATTTAGCTAAACAAAAGCATATGAAAAGAAATTAGGGAACTTCACAGGACCATGAGGCTTTGTCAGGATAGAACTGTCTTGTTTCCTTTTTCTTGTGAGCCTCAGACAGAATATGGGATGCCTTCAATTTCACTAAATGTTCAAATAGAAACACAAAACACTCGAAACAGAGGATGGAGCAAAAGGTGTGTCATATTGCTTTCTGAATTCACTCTTCCAGTACTGTGGAGGCTACCTGAAAGGCTGAAATGGTTGAATTTGATGTCTTGGTAAACTCTAAAATATCCAAAAAGAGGGGGTAACAGGTTTAAAGTCAGAGTTGTGCAGTTGTGAATGAGATTGAGGATGCTCCAAATGTGACCTGTGGGCTTGCAGACGAGCTGTGGGTGGATTTGAAGCTGACTCAGTGGGACTCCCCGTTGACTGAGCTGCCTTCTCCTCGAGGTGAAGACGAGCGGGAGAGCCCCTTCTCTGTTGTTTCTGAGCTGGAGCCGTTCTGGCTGTGGTGGTCGGCTGTGGACGTAGCACTCGACGATGACGACGATGTAGTTGAGGTGGACGTGGGCTTTGCCTTCTCCTTAAAGTCTGTAATGATGACTGTCAGGTCCCCAACTGTCACCTCGAGGTGCTGGGCACTGCTGCGGTCGATGTTTTTTAATCGCGGTCTGTTGAGGGATGAAAATGGTTTGGAAAAGTGAGAAAAAATCTGTAAGAGAGGAGACACTATGTGTGGACTACTTGTTAAAAACATTTGAATCAACATTTCTACCTGCATTAAAAGGACATTCCAGCGTAAAGTTAGTTTAGGGTCAAACACACCGTAGCACCGAGTTAGACACCCCCTGGAGAGATGAATGTTGCCGACCGCTTGCTTCTCTAGTTATACTAACTTTAGTAACGACCACCTAACTTCATCAACAGTACATATAGGGTCACAGCCACAGCACTAGCCACCAAACATCTTTTTAACTTTGCCAAATTTCTTTAGCAAAGAGACTAAACACAACTCACCTACTCTCTTCCAGCAGCCTCTTGTTTGTACGGAGACCTCAGACCAGTCCACTGCGGACTGCTGCGGGGTGACGCAGCTCAAGGAAGAACATTTATGATCATTTCTTTATCATTTCCTTAAAGTAATAATCATCATATTAATCATTTTGCACTGCAGACGCGGTAGTTCTTCTGCCTTAGCGTCTCGGTCTGATTGCATTTCCATGAAGAAATTACCATAAATGTTCTTCCTTGAGCTGCGTCACCCCAGCTGTAGTCCGTAATGGACTCGTCTGTTGATGAAGTTAGGTGCTGTTCTGAGCATTATTTGTGGCTATAGAGTGGCGTTTTGGTTCAGGTTTGTGTGTGGAGCCGTAGACCACTGTGTATTGCTATCGTGCGGTCATTACTAAAGTTGGTATAACTAGAGAAGCAAGCGGTCGGCAACATTTATCTCTCGAGGGGGTGTCTAACTCGGTGTTAAGGTGTGTTTGACCCTAAATTAATTTTACGCCGGAATATCCCTTTAAATGGTATAAAATAATATCTTTTGATTGTACTGAATCACGAAGGAAATTCACGATCTTTTGCTTAAAAATATATTCCTGCTGTTTCTCACACTCAAGTGCTTCATGAAGAGCGAGAAAACATCAACCAACGACAGGTGGCAACGTGAACACCACCCTTACTTCCCTCTGTTTATTCATGCATCCCAGTGACAGCCCTCCCCTCCACCTTGTGTCAGTTTGTTTACCTCATCTTCTTGTGACTGTTCTTCTTAAGCGCTGGCTCTTTGTCGCTCTTCTCCCTCTCCACACGCTCCTTCTTTTCCTTTTTGGGCTGCGACGGCAACACAAACTGCTGCGTTACCTGCTGCTGCGAGACGAGCTGGGAGACGGGACGAGGCTTCCTAATCCAGGAAGCGAGGCAAGGAGAAAGAGAGGTGGGGAGAAGAAAAAAGGGAGAGACAGGAGTGTGGCAGATTAATGAGAGGGAAAATCACAATGAACGCATGGCTTCATGCTAGTGTACCGCTATAATCAAGGGCCAATATAACTGCCAGTGCTGGTTAGAGTGGAGCTGCCGAAGTGTTCTTGACGCTGGCAGCAAGGGCTTTCAGAAATAAACCAAAGATTCAGCTATCAGAGAGAAATATGTGGCTCCCTGCACAGGCTTGTTTGGGCACTCAGAGGGATAAACACTGACAAGCTGGGATCTGTGGGTAATAACAAGGATGTGGCAAGAATTGGAAGGGCAAAAGTTACACTAAATTCACAGTAAATTAAAGGTACGCATGTGTAGTTCCCAACTTGTTATAAACAAGAGTAAAAAAATCCCAAGAGAAGGAAACTAATCGCACTTTCCTGGAAAATATCCTACATTTTCCTGCACTTGTTTTTCACATGCACATCAAAAATGGAAATCAGTAGAGCCCCCTCCCTCTAATTTTGCAAAATACACGGTTGGATTTGACAGAAAGTCTGGGCATGCAGGACCAGAAGGAATTTCCATACAGATGACTGTTTCTGGATGATTTTTAATATGTGTGATGGTGTCCTTAACAAAATTGCATTGGTTGGAAGTGGAGTGCTTGCTGTTGAGATGAGCTGATAACTGAATAAAGAAGTAAAACGCCACACCTACATCATCGTTTGTGGTGAATGTTCTAAACTTTCACTGGCTGTGTTCACGTTTAGGAACTATATTCTGACTTTGCACAGATTTTTTTTTCTCAAGGCAGTGGAGATAAAAGTAAACTTTGGGAATACCAACTTTTCTGTCAAATTTCTCCCTCCTGTAAAAAGAGGTGAAGCTTCAGGAGTGTAGTGCATGGCCCAAGAGTAGCATGATATGTATATAAATGAGACTCGTTTTATTTTGTATTAAAGGTCAGATCAAATTCCGTTTTCTTCCTAGCTTCCAAAACACTGAGTTCTCCTGCTCTCGACAGCCTCAGTCCCTTTTAATTTCAGAAAAGGAGTAGTCGGACATAAATAGAGCTCCCTGCTGCACCATTTTACATCAAGTCGTCTAAACTGCAGCATGACTGACACTGTGCCTTAATGACTTCCCACAGATGACACACTGTAATGTGTTCAGCTAAAAAAATTAGAGACTTTTTAGTTTGAATTTCGATGAATACAGCAGTCAGCTCAGGAAAATCAAAAATACACTGTCTTAAAGCATTACAGTGATGTAGTTTTCCATCCTCAAAGGGCTCTAATCAGCTTCTTAAAGGGATATTCCGGTGTAAAATTAAGTTAGGGTCAAACACAACCTAACACAGAGTTAGACACCCCGTCAAGAGATGAATGTTGCCGACTGCCTGCCTCTCTAAATACCAACTTTAGTGCCGACCGCAGATAGCAGTCCATCAACTGCAAAGGGGGGGCGCAGCTCAAGGAAGAACATTTATGATCATTTTTTCATGGAAATGCAATCAGACCGAGACGCTAAGGCAGAAGAACTACCGCGTCTGCAGTTCAAAATGATTAATATGATGATTATTACTTCAAGGAAATGATGAAGTAATGATCATAAATGTTCTTCCTTGAGCTGCGTCATCCCGCTGCAGTAATGGACTCGCCTGGAGGTCTCGCTACAAACAAGCGGCTGCTGGAAGAGAGTAGGTGAGTTGTGTTTAGTCTCTTTGTTAAAGGCAAAGTTAAAAAGATGTTTGGTGGCTAGTACTATGGCTGGGACCCTATATATACTGTTGATGAAGTTAGGTGCTGTTCTGAGCATTATTTGTGGCTATAGAGTGGGTTTTTGGTTGAGCGCGTGGCTCTCTGTATTGCTATCCTCCTGCATGTTTTGGATGTTTTCCTGCTCCAACACACCTGATTCAAATGATCAGCTCGTTATTAAGCCATTACAGAGCTTGATAACGATTTCATCATTTGAATCAGGTGTGTTGGAGCATGGAAACATCCAAAACATGCAGGACAGTGGGCCTCGAGGACTGGACTTGAGAACCACTGCCATAGAGGATCTTGTCAAGAGGAACATGAGAGACACCAGAGCAACCATACAGACGAGCTGAAGGAGCTATCAAAGAGACCCGGACTTCCTGACACAGACTGATGACCTCTATGCCACAGAGCAGAACTGAGTGCATAAATGAACATAGTTTTGTCAGAGAGTCGACATTTCTGTATTTTTAATCCTTTTTGGATTGATGTCAAGAATTTTTTTTTTATCTCCTAAATCTTTCATAATACTGACAGGGTGAAAGTCTTCACTGATTAGCAATGTCAGCCTGATAAGTGGGGGTGATGCTCTTTTAAACACAAGCGCACATTAACAAAAGACAAGCACATTATTAGATTATGACTAAATGCCTCTTTTTCATGTGAAATGTTCCTCCTCACAGTCACATTTCCATCCTCCTCAAGTTTCAGATGTCCCAAAATGATACATTATGCAACTGATCTGGCAACACTGCATGCAAGAAGGCTGCAATCTTATTTCTGTACTCCAGTTTTGTGTGTTTGTGTGTATGTATGTGTGTGTTTCTGTGCGCCTGCCTGTGTTTTGGGGGCTGGCAAGAGCCCCAGCCGAGAGGCAAGTGTGTTGAAAAGGCCATCTGTTGAAGGAGCCTACACATCTAGGGCCTGATTTTGCATGCACACACACAAACACTCTTGTGCATAGACACAGTTATATTAGTCTGAATGCTCTAATGCACATCACTGCATGCAGATACTGCAGCGATAGGCAAGGTGCAGTGAGTGCGCAAATCAAAATTGGTTGCACATGATAATGTATGCATGCTTTATGAACAAATTAATCCACAACACCGGGGCGTATTCTGGCACATGGCTGTGCACACATGCAAACAGACACACACACAAACATGAGCGCAGCAGTGAGCAGATGAAGCATGAGGGCATGTTGAGAAGAGCAGAAGAGCGCAGTGTGTTTTCTGAGTCCTGTTGAGAGGTCGAATTTTGTAACTGGAGCTGAAAATTCATACAGAAAAAAAAAACACATTTCATGATTCATCTGCCAGTTTTACTGTTTGACCTCCTTCTCTATGACCTTAAAACAGACAAGGACCCATAAACAATGGATGAAAAGTGTCATCTTTTTACTACAGCTGGTAAAAAAAAAGATGCAAACAGTGCTCAGAAATGAAGCCTCGCACTGCCGATGCGACTCTGTGAAACAGCTTTGTTCAAGTGTGCTAACCTGTGTGTGAACCTTGAGAAAAGTATTCCAATTACAAAATATTGGCCTCCAGGTGCTCCGTGATAAATGTCCCCTTGCACTTACCTAATGTAATTCTGAGAGTTTAACAAAGTACAGGGTGTACAAATGTGCTCGACTTGATACAAATCCATCCACAAAATTAGTCTGAGCACCTGGTGTTGCTGTGCAATGTGCTACTTTTTTTTTTGGGCCAAAAAGCGCCTCAGTGGCCTATTTAGCTCGATTTAGAGGCTTCTCCCTCGTTTTCTAAGGGGGAATATTTTGAGCTGCTGGTCTCCTGTCTTGTTCTAAGGGCAAAGCTGTTGTTTAAAAATTCTGGGATGACCTAAATTGGGGCCCAGCTTCAAAGAGTCAGTTTTTTTTTTCCATCAGAGTTATCACTGCCTTCACAGAACGTGCAGTAATGCTAGAGAAAGGCTAGAGTGAAATGCAAATGGGTCTCTTGGCCTACATAACTGTGTGATAGGAAGGAGATGGAGAGATTCTCTAATATGTCTGTCTTGTCAGCACGACTCCGCAGAACTGCTGACACCTTTTTTAAAATAAAAGCAGAGACCTGTCAGAGTCCTCTGTTCACAGTTTGAGGAATTCGCTTCACTCCATGACATCCTATACCCCGGTACTGTGAAACAACTGTCCTGTTTTTTTTCTCTTTTTTGTAAATTTTCTGAAATTCTCACAAACAAAACCAGCGACTGTCACAATCTGATCCTGCCCCTTGGGCCAAATGTTCTAGCTTCCAAAAATGAAAAACAAAAACAAGCGCCCGCCTCATTCATAACCTCTTTTTGGTTCCTCTTTGATTGATAATTTGGGCTCAGGGTGCTCATGTGCTCTCTGTGTGATTTACTGTTTATAATAAAAGCACAAGTGTCTCATTAGTGGATTTTTGTTGATGCGCGATAAAGAAAAAATGTCACCCGAGGCGAATCATGAGCTTTCTATTTAAAACTTAGCTGTGAGAAGAATCCGTGCCCCCGACATAAACACATTTTGTACACCTTGTCTTCTTCATGTGTTGGAACAGAGTATATTTTCCTTAATAGAGCCGGTTCAATAACCTGGAGGTGAAAGAGGAGACGGACAGCATAATATAATAGTGAGGCAAAGCAGCGGGTCTAAACAGAGCTGCCTCTGTTAACCCAATCAGATGGTTATTATCTAAGCACCAAGGCTTTTGCTGCTGGCACCCATCTGCAAGCTGAGTGTGTGTTTGTGTGTGTGTGTGTTTATTGATTCCAACAACATTTTCTGAGCCTAATGTAACGGCCTTGTCTTTCTGACATTAATACTGTGTGCTGGAGCTGTTGTTCCAAACAATATTTGCTCCACACATGCCATCTATTATAGAGCAGCTAATGGAGTCTCATACTGGGAAATTAGGATGTTATGAGGAAGGCTAAAACACACTGAATTTTGAGGCAATGGATATTAATCACCATCTCTGTTTTTTGGCATCTTTACACACACAGAATCTACTCCAGCTATCTATCATTTCCCTCCATTTTTCTTCAGTCTTCCACCTTGTACAAACACAAAAAAAGCCACACTTCATTTGGAGCCTCTAAAGCTTTAACGGCTTTACTTTCAAATCCAACTTTAACTCCAGCTCGTCTCTTCCTGCAGACTGGAGAGGTTGGGGTGTACGAAATACTGCCGCTGATCCCTCACATTTCACTGACAGGGGGAACTCTGGCTGACCCCTTTTTTTTTGCAAATACATCACACACACACCTCCTCCCTCTTTCTCGCAGTGCACCCACTGACCTCTCCCGCACTCTCCCACCTCACTCCTGCACTCAATAGATGAGGAAAAAAAGAGGAGAGCACAGTCAGAAAACGACTGCTAAAAGGAAAAAAAAAAATCCCCTCTGCTTTGAATTTGGGCACAAACTGACAGAAAATATTTGCCAGTGCAAAACTCAGCAGGAGGGTCAGCTCATGACTCAGGCTTCTTTGGCTGGGCTGTCACGTTTCTGTCACAGCAGACAACCGGGTCACCTACGCCGAAACTCAAAAGAGACTCAGGGACCAACACAGATGGTGTGGAAGCGTTCAAGAGCCAGGATCTATTCAAAGATGAATCATCATTTCCTTTTGAAAAAGAGGGCGCAGAAACACAGAGATGAGTTTTCTCTACCTACGATCTATTTCAATATGTCTGATTTTAGCATTGTGTTGTTGCTCTTATATGTTTAAAATCAACCTCAGTGCATGACCTGAAAACTCCTGACTTTTCCTCGACACTTTCAGGACTTTGAAACACTGATACTTTCAGAGTGTCAGACATGCCCTCAAAACTTTGTGTAATCATTTAGCTTAGGTAAGCGAGGACGGCTGGGTGGAGCGTGCAGGAGGAGCAGCCATCTTTTGCAACAGGGGCTGTTTGTGTTGATATCCCCAATGAAATACAGACGCCACAGTGGAAAACCTTTCCAGCATGCAGGCCTGATCATTGTATCCTAAAGCACAAGGCCCCAATCCTCTGGACTTATCTACCAGTGTGGCTCTGTCCTGAGAGCCTCTTGCCTTTTGACATGCTTACATGGGATAAAAAGCTACCCACCAAACATCACACGTCGAAGAGACGTGCAGATCAAGTCAGTACTGGGTCGGTCCATCACAGACCACATCTAGACGTCAGTGCGATGTGCAAAATAGGTTAGAAATTTCAACGTCCAAATGGGACCTTTTTGAGACTTCACTCTGACGTTTAGAATTTGGACGTCATTTATCTAGACGTCGGCACAATGTGCAAAATAGATCCAAGACTTAAACGTCATTATTGGACCTCTTCTAAATGTTGAAATGACGTCCATTTGTATCTCATTGTCGAAAAAATACGTTAAATAGATGTCAATTTGACGTCGCATTCCGCAGTGGGTAAGGCAAGGAGATCAGCAGCAGCAAAAAAACCCAAACAAAGCACAGCTGACACTAATGCTGCGTTCGAGTTACCTTAGAGGTCAGATGTCGAAGCTGAAAAAGATGTCACACCAGAGTTACAGTTACCAGGTCTGAAAAAGGCTAAATCGGAGGCGGGAACAAGATGGCTACATCTACGAAAGTTATTTTAGCGCTTGCCCTGTTAATCGGACAACCCAAGCGCTAAAATAACTTTCGTAGACTTTTCATAGATGTAGCCATCTTGTTTCCGCCTCCGATTTTGCTTTTTCAGACTTGGTAACAGAAACACTGGTAACTCGGGTGTGATGTCATTTTCAGCCCCGACATCTGACTTCCGAGGTAACTCGAACGCAGCACAAGTACTCTAAATCAGTAGTTCTCAAGTCCAGTCCTCGAGGCCCACTGTCTTGCATGTTTTGGATGTTTCCCTGCTCCAACACACCTGATTCAAATGATCAGCTCGTTATCAAGCTCTGTAATGGCTTAATAACGAGCTGATCATTTGAATCAGGTGTGTTGGAGCAGGGAAACATGCAGGACAGTGGGCCTCGAGGACTGGACTTGAGGACCACTGCTCTAAATAATATGACAAGTATGGTCTAGATCTGCTCTTTATGTTAAGGGTCTTGGGATAGCAATTGTTGTGACTCTGGGTTATATAAATAAAGACTGGCTGATTGAAAACAATTAACAGGAAACTGATGCCAGTGGTAAAGAGTATAAATTTCTGCATTAAAAATTCTGCTTTTTGCATTGAAAAATGTACAATGAGGGTGGGGTACATGTGTGAAAGAGGCTGATGAAACTCAGGACTTATGATCAATTTGGACTATAACTTTCCCAACCAACTCTCCAAATAAAACAGCCTTTTTCATTTCTGTGGAAAAAGCATTTTTCAGATAATCCAATCAGCTTTGAGTGCTGATGATTAGTTTAAAGACATCTGTTTCTATTTTCTATTTTTGTAAAGCAGCTTCAGCCCTATTATATTATCATGGGAGGCATTATCACCAAACTGAGAAAGCATTGTTTTCCCTGAACAGATATTATTAGCTCTGTGGCCAACACTGTTTCTCACATTTCCAAATAAACCTTGTGGGCTTCTTTCCAGAGTGAATGCACAAATGTCTGCCTCCTGTTTTATCTCCCCTCTATAGGAAGAAACCATTCAAGTTTTATTATGATTTTGGGTGGACAGACTCTAATAAAACTGAGCAGTGGTGCTGTAACAAAACTAACACACCCACTGCAGGGGAACCTCAGGGGGTGGAGTGTTTGTGGAAGGACAGTGAGCTCCATACAAATGAGGTGCACAGATGTGGGTGCAGCGTTACACTAAAAACAAAGGGTCTTGCTTTGACAGTCAATACAGTTTAGCCTTGGTCTTTATTTTTAAATACTTTCAAGGCCCAACGTGTTCTTCCATGGAACTCATAATGCAGAGTACATCCAAGACATCAAGTAGATATCTCAGCAGATGTTTGGACTGCCTGCTAACATTTGTTGAGTACATTGTGTGATGAGCAAACAGCCCACAGAACAACTGATGGACTGCAAATAAGAGCTGAGGAGGATTGTGCTGCTATAAAAAAAACAAAGCTCATTTCGGTGTTCTGTGATGATTGCAGGATCATTGTGAAAGAGCTGATTTTACGCCCTGTTGAACGCTCTCGCAATCTAGGTGTAGGTGTGTATCAGATTTTCTATCAGCGGGTCATGGGCTGCTCCCGGGAGCTCCTCCAACCTGATGATTAATGTCTCTTCCTGCCTGTACATGCTAGCTCCGTGTGTGTGTGCGTGTGTGCGAGGCAGATGGCGCTCCACGTCCTGTGGTTTATGACACCTTCTGCAGTCCGCTAGCCACACTATACTGCGTTCTCCTTTCACACACACACACACACACACACCCTCCCTGCATACACACATGGAGCAGTATGTCATGCATCAGTGTCAGAGAAGTAATTACAGGCTTATCACGTAGCCATATTCTTGAGCCGGAGTGACGTGATAACAGCCAGCTTCATTGTCCCGGGTGAACACAGTTTGTATGCTGCACAGGCACTAAAAGCTGTAACACACACCACTGATTGTGACTTAAAAGAGGATGCAATAATTTAGATGGGATGATGTAACGTTGGCGGTGATAGAGAGTCAGTTTTATGTGGGTGATTCCCATTTTAGATGTGATTTCAATCAAAATCTTCACATATCTTTGCGGGTTATGGGACAGTTTTTTCTGCAAATAGCTGAGATTTTGTCACTCCTGCTTACAACCAGTTCATAAAACTTCCTCATGAGCTCTTATTGTTGCCTACTCCAAGGATGTTTTCCCACATAATCACTCAAACAAGCGAGAAATCTCTCCAGAAAAGGTGTTTACGCCCTAAATACTTCTCTGAATGAATACATGACCTGAAATTTTGATCCAAAGTTGTCGCAGAGCACAAAACAAGACCCACGCCAGCACTTAATGACAACACACGAGCCCAAGGTGATCATTAAACGTGCTGCTCTCCGCTAATGGCAACTTCTGTGTTATCACAAAAACTGGGGGAAATGATCATTATCCCAAACATGGCAGCTTAATTACCACACACCCAAAAAGCCCAACATTTGGCTCACTCCCGTGCGTGTTGCCAGGAGTTGACATTTTGATTCTTGACCCTGTGAAAGGCTGTGGAAAAAAAAGCTAAGAGTGTTGAACGCCAAGAGCTAATGATAGGCTTAGTGGAGATGTGAGGATAGGGCAGCTGATTTCAATAATAAATGAAGCTCTGAATTCAAGTCACAGAGGAAGATTACAGCTAATTCTCCTTTTACACTGTATCTCAGATGGATGCATTTCTCTTCAGGCAGCATTTTAATATACATTACATTGTATATTACTATTCCACGGCTGCTGCACACACATTATGAGGGCAGATATATGGAGAGAATATAAAGATAGAAGAAGTTAAGCCTTTCCTTTTTACATTTTAAGTCCTGTATGGCTTTGTTTAGAGTTCACCACCCACTCTAGAGATACATTTGTCTACCAACCTTCTGCCAGTGTTCAAAATTGATGTTGTACATATTCAGACTGATAACCACGATGGAAATCTGCTAGGGTCCATTATTGTTGTTTTTCGGTAATATGGTGCACTAGTACTGGTACTGATGTTTGCAATGAGGGTCAGATCTTACATCTTTATGTTCCTGAGCTTATCTATTTTTGCACTAAAAAGAAACTTTGATCAGATGAATCAGGTTTGACGAGAATGTTTTTGCCTGGCATTTCCTCTCTGGGTTTTCATTTTATTTGTAAGCATGAATCCACTCTCGAAAATTGTTTTTATTCCTGCATTTGAGTGCACACAGTCAGCTCATTTGCAGTCAATTTACCCGTATGACTCTCAGTATTATGTTGTCCAAATACTTAGTGTGTGCACTATATGTGAACTGTGAGGGCGAGCTTGTGCGGAGGATGATAAAACAACATCTGAAAAGCCGAAACGCTGACAGGTTCCCAGCCTGCACGAAGCAGCTCCTGCTTGTTTGGGCGAAGCTGATGAAGACCTGAACATCAGTCAATCTGTCACAGAGAGATGCCCCAGGTTAAGTTCCAGTTTGGGGTAGAGATGGCAAGACAAACGGGGATGGATAGGGTTAGGGAAAGACGAGATACTGTTATGAACACGATCAGACTCACTGTCCTGACCTGCAGAAATACTGCTGCTGAAAATTCTCCTGCGTGCACGCAGAGAGTGTTTCCCTGGTGGGCTTGACTTGTCACAGCTCAGTGAACAGATGCAGGAGGTGTAGGCGAGACACCAGAGAAGGTCACACACACACATACGCTGCTCTATTACACCCAGTAGTATTTGACTGTGGGCGGTGTTCAGGTTGGGGTTTAACAGCTGTCTGTCAGCACCGCTTCACATGAGATTTTTCAGCCTTTACTGCGAAACCCAGACAGAGGCATTAAGTCAGAAACACGTCTGATCATCCATCTTTAAACATTAGGGTGACACCCTAATCCAGGACATGTTCTAATGGGTGCACTAGGAGGCCGTGAGTGTCTTAGTTGGTTGAAGGAATCAAACCTGTGACCTGTCCTTTATCTAACGGCTTTTTTTACACTCACAAAACCATTGTGCTGTTTTTTTATGGCTATAAATGAGCCCATGCAGCGGGAAGAGGAGATAAAATGTCTCCTACTTTTTACCCATCAAAGACTTAAGGTAATGAGGCTGTGATCCCAGAGCTCCTCTAAGACAGCTTTAATTAAATACTGAGAGCTAGCAGGGAGCTTGCTTTGGAGGAACAGCATATTTTCCCTATTTATCTACGAAAATGGCATCAAGTCTGCACCCATTTCTGTTCTATCATGCGGGTGCAGATCCTGCTTGTGTTTTCAGTGCAGGTTTTCATGCCTCTGACACACTTAATGAAACAACAGATCAGCTAGTCTCCTTTATTGTCAATCTGTCCCCCTCTCTCTCTCTCTCTTTCACTCCACCTCCTCTGATACGTGAGCCCAATCCTGCTGATGTGTCCCTGTCTAAAGCCCAACTTGCAGTGCTCTCAATCAGCCCAGCAGCTCTGAGCCCCTGCAGTAGATCATCTCAAGACATCAAAGAAGTCTGAACCCGCAGATCTGCAAACCTCACCTCTAGAAATGAGCTAATTCTAACACTTACAAAGCTAAAATTATTTACTACTTTTATCATTGCGTATATCATTATTATCTCTATTTATAAAGCAAATGGTCATTGTGAAACTTTTTGACTCTTTCTGCCTCAATCATTCCAATTCAAACCCCCATTATTTACATCAACTTCTATTTGTAAATATCATGAAGAGTATAATCTAGTCCAGCTTTTTTGTTCAACATCTTGAGATAACATTAGTAGGGAAATGGCGCTGTATAAATAAGACTGTTTGATTGACATGCTAATTCTATTCCTCCATCTTCTCCTAAAATACTTTTAGTGGCGAAATATTTTAACAGGATGCCACAAAACGAGTCTTAAGGTCCTTTCACACTGGAACCGTTTTTGTCGTGCGATTATTTAGGACGTCAACATTTTTTTTCCAACCTGTATCCTGTCAATACAAGTGTTCACATCAGCAAGTTTCGCATACTGTGTATCCACTTCTGGCCAATCAGAGTGCGTGTTGTTGCGATGTCTGATTCACTGGTATATCCAATATGGCCAACCGGCTGATTGTTTATGTGTCGGAGAACAGAGTGTTTTTTGATAAAAAACACAAACATTACAAAAATAACGACCTGAAGGAAAACTTGTGGAGAGTCATAGCGTCGGATTTCTCATATGACGATGGTTTGTGTGCTTTAACAGTTTGCTAAATGTCTTTGTTTTAACTTTCATCTGTGCTAAGTAACTTTAGCTCGTAAGCTAATCTGTTCAGATACAACATACCAGATGTATTTTCACTGTCTCAAACTCAATTGCATTGCTGTCACAGCACCATTAGGTCTCAGTTGTTACCTTACTTTTATGGATTATAGTTAAATGTGCTTATCTGGTACTGGCCCCGACTCATTACATGCTATCATGAGAGAAAGCCATCTCAACACTAGAGTCTAATGAGAACTGAAAAACAGTCAGTCTTCTCCCTTCCACTCGGGATGCGTCATTTTCCCCCCCGGAAAGTTGCAAAATCACATCGGGCTTGATGTGCATAGTTGGGCATGTCAAAAAAATCGCCTCCGAATATTTCATGTTCTACATTTGTGTCGGCCCCGGTGTGTAAGGACCTTTACACTCACAATAAAATCTGATAAGAAGAGACACTGATACATATACCATGACATGATCCTGTGCAAGACAATGCAATGTGGTACAGAACAAATACTGCAATATTACATAACACTGCATCGTATGCAATATTACACTATGTGATAAGGTATGACAGTGCAATGCCACACTCAACATGATAAAATGCCATACGATATGATCCTGTACAGTACATGACATGATTCAATTGGGTACATAATATGATACACTGGGAGAGGTTACATGTTGATGTAATGTGCTTTAATAGGATACTAAGACATTCAATGGAGTGTGATATAATATGCTAAAGTACACTTGACCCTACAGAGAACTATGGCCTGCAATTGTCTAGCTGTCACTACTTGACTTCTAATAAAGACGAAGGAAAGTCAAAATGTTCTGCTGTTGGTTGGGTTTGATGGCAAGTGATGAATTGACACCACAGCATCTCCTCCACCTGTCAAACCTGTGACCTTCAAGCGTCAGGAGATGTCCACCAACCACTGGGCTCTCCACGCTCTGTGTCAAGCATTAATTCATTACCTCACAGTAATAGCGCAGTCATGCTTATTTAGCAGCCGGTGAGAGAATTTTCAGCGTGCTCCATTAATATTCCACATGTTGTTTGCCCTTTAGCACCTTCGGCTTTGCTCGCCCAGAAATCCACTTGTCTGCCGTGTTCCGTCATTAACAGCTGCGACCACCTGTGTGGCCATTTTGCTGCAGAATTAGCTCGCGTGTGGCCTGTTCTGAGTACTTGTTTGGCTTTCTGTAGGAGCATGACAAGGCTACAGTTTTTATAGCACTGCAGTTGGAAGGACATAGGGTTATTAAGACCTAAGACCTTCTTGTGGAGTGAATTTGTCAGGGAGTGTCTGGGGGTGTTGCAAGGAATTCTGGGTCCTCGTGTCCTTGCCAACTTCCCAAAACGAGCAAACAAACAAAAAAGAAAACCCAGATGGGGAAAGACAAAGGGCGTCACTGCCTTCGTTGACATGAAGATTCAGACAGATTCCTGGCAAAGCTGCAGGACGCTTGTTTTTTACGGAAGCGAACGCAGAGTCCCTGAAGTGTCCTCAACAATCAATGCTCAATTGCAACAATCACAACTCTATGACAACAGCATGGAAGCTTCTCATTCTTTATGTTTGTGTGAGCAGCACTTGTGCACTTGAGTGTGTGTGTTTGTGTATGAATATGTATGCAGTCATGTGTAAAATTTGCATGTGGAGTGCATCTGTACGCAAGTGTGTGTGTGTGTGTGTCTCTGATGACAGCAGGGCTGATTAAGCTGTTGCATAGTAATGAGCTATGGCTGTCTGTCTGGCAGCTGCTCTGACAACCTCTTTTCACAACTAGCCCTCCCACACACACACAGACACACACACACACACATAGAAAAACACACTAGCAAAAAGTGCATGCACCAACATGAGACATACCATAGTTTAAAAAACAGGCATCAAAGCTAACAACTGCTCTGATGTGTTGTTGTAGTTAAATCAAGTTGTGCTAATGTAGAGGAGGATAATTGGCTGTACATTAAAGAGGGAAAACAACAAACACGCTTTCCTGCAGCTGGTGCTACGATTTCATTTCTTCTCCTTCAGCCTTTTGTTGTTCCATCCTGATAATGACTGCCACTCAGGAATAACTGACATACTGCTGCAAATCAACAATGTCAGGGGGGAATATCACAGAGGGCAGCGAGTGTGTGTGTCGGTGCTGTGTATTTGTATACTTGAGTACCTGTCTGTTATAAATATCTCCTGGGGAACAAGATAGATGTGTGTGCTTTAGAGGGGGAGTGAGCATCCCTCTGCCTCAATTTGCAGAGGTCAGTGTTAAGACTGAGAGGCTGGACCATAAAGACTAATGCAGTGCTCAGAACAGGGCTGCAACTACTGATAGTTTCATCATCAATTGAATGATTAACAGGTTTATCTTTCACTTGTTTTATTACCAAAATTAAGCGTAAATAAGGTTTAATAAATTGCTGTTTTGCCCAAACATATTTGCAAACATTGTTTTGGGCATAAATTGAGAAAAAACTGTGTCAAACTTAACATTGAAGAAGCTGGAGGCAGAACATTTCTGCTTGACGAATGGCCAAACTGATGTTGAAAACAGTTTCTTCTTGGTTTAATAATCAAGTAGTTTGCTAACCAATGCAAGTTCAGCTCAAACAAATGGTAGAAGAGGAGCTAAAGTTGCGTTTGAGTTAATAAAGTATGTGCAATAGGGCCTGACCGATTTATCGGCGAGCCGGTTAAATTGGCCGATTTTAGCCAATTTGAGATTTATCAGTAATCGGCCAAAACTCGCAGATTTTCGCCGATATTTTCAGAAATAAAATGCGGAGCATAAGATTCGGTTTCACTTCGGTCACCTCAATGGTAAATAAACCAGCTTGTAAAGTAGACAATGAGTCAACAAGTTTCAGTTTAACCCACTTCACGATGTTCCCTGCTGCGCTGGTGTCCATCACGCCGAGTTAACGGTGAAGCACCATGTAATATGCAAGCTAAAGTTAGAGTTAGCCATCTGCTATTAGCCTTGCTACACTGTTAGCCGTGCCAGTAACGGTAGAATAAACAACAGTACACATTACGTGATCGAGCTACTTCCGGTACTTCTGGGCCGGAAATGGGTCATTCGTTTATTTGTATAGGCTATTTATTTTATAGGATGACAAGTGTGTGAGTTTGACAAGATGGAGGCTGACAAAATAATCATCGCCCGCTACAGTCTGAATAATAAGCTGAAAAGCATTAGTTGATCATTTTTATTACAGTTAAAATAAATAGCCAGGGGTTGTTTTAGCAATAAAAAGGAATTGAAATTAGTTTTCTGCCTTTAATTCTTTGAAGAAGTGTTTGAAAGGCTCAAAAGCAGCCATTTGTTAAAAAAAAAATAAGTAAATATGTAGATATATTACTTAAATTAACAACATTTTAGAACTTCATTAAAAGAAAAATTTCTTCCCCCTAATAATCGGTAACAGCATCTGCCCCATCGGTCGGGCCCTAATGTGCAATGAGGTTACATGCAGAATAAACACAATAATCACCAGAGAAATTACCCTATACCATATTTGTTTAAGTGTATAGCCTGACTTTTATGTAGAACAGTATTAGCAGCCAACTGGGGTGAATATATTTTTTAATAAATCTATTATTTTAACCAATTGACTCATTGTAAAAATACAGATTTAACTCAAAGATGAGGAATTACAATGAGGTTAAGCAGTTTGTTCATTTGCTAAAGGGGAGTCCCAAGAGACCCCCCACTAATGCAAGAGAGCACAAAGGTAATGTATATGAGTCGCCTTACCTTGTTGATGTCCCCTTCCTGACATCACACATCATGCACTTAAAAGCTTCTGCCGTGTTCTTGTACGTGCACACGCTGCAGTCCCAAAACCCCTCGTCGGAGGAGGGCTTCGGTTGACGCTTCGGCCTTTAAAACAATAAATGTAAAAAAAAATAAAAAAAAAAGAGGATGAGAGAGAGAAAGAAATTTAAAAACACCGAGAGAATGTCAGAATGTTAATAATGAGAGGAAGAAAAGGGGGCGAGAAAAGACAAAAGTGAGTTCAGTTCGCATCCACGAAGGCTATCGATAGCAAACATCTGGGGAAGCTTATAGGATTTAGGAAATCATCTACACGCGCGCTGTGATCCGACACTGTAATTGGCGACGAGGTTTTAACACTCGCGCGCGCACACCACCACGCGCACACACATGCAGTGAGAGAGGGAGATCGTTGAGAAAACCCATTTTTTTCACCGTGCGCTTGTCGATGTCCGCTCTCCCCCCCTCCTCTCTCTCTCTACTGGCTTCAATATCTCGGGCTCACTGACACGGTGGTTACCTTGTGGGACTCCTCTTGTCGCCCATGCCAGACCAGGGTTTCTCTGGAGGTGCTGAGACGAGCAGAAGTCGTTTTATTCCCAATTATTTTAGCAAAGAAGCGATGCGCTTGTGCCGCTCGGCTTCCAGCTGTCGTGGAAACTCCGCTTGGGAAATGGTCACGTGACTCTCCGGAGCCAATCACAGGCCGGGTTACTTCCCGAGGCTGACATTCCTCTTGATGAATCTATGCCGCCTTCATGAACCCGCTGTAACCTCAAACTCCTGTGTGCTAAAATGTTGTATAATCGCATTTATTCGCTATTTTGAAGAAACTTAGATTGGAACACACCATTCCCAATCAGCCTCAGAAATATAGTTAATATTTAACTGTGAAAATGTCATTTTGATTCAACATTACCGCTCGTTTTGCTAATTTATCTACCTTTATTACATTTAAGACGCAAGAATATGAATAAAACAAATAAATGTGGCGCAACTTGCCTTTGTAATTTCAATGTTATCATAACGGTACAAAATAAACTTATAAAACTACGCCTGTGAGCAAAAAATTACACAGGCTAAAAATAGAGATGCATATAAATAACATTGACCCAACATGAAATGATCAAATCTGCGGTTTATACTTGACTACAACTTGCCCTGAATGAGAATATGATCTTTTAACCGAGATCAGGTAATATCGCGTCTTTTTCGTGAAACGCTTAGCTTTCCAAATTTTGGTGTTCACGTAAACGCAACAAAAGCCACAGAAGCTCATAATGCGTTTCTAGCCATGAATCAGCTGGGGTGTCATTTATTCCAGCTCATTGTGCTGGGGTTTCTCTCATATCCCCACATCTTTGAGCTAACAGACTGAGGTAATATACCGCAGTAGTGTGCACCACAGGCGCAAATAGCATCGGGGAATCCCTCGTTTTATCCCTTGCATCTAACTCCATATTACAAAGCGAACCACTACCACCACAGCCTCTTTAATTTCACATACTCAAAGCGCCAGACTGATGCCGGCAGAGGTTCCCATCTTTTGTCATATCAAGGACATCCAGCTGGGCTCTCTCTCTTTCTCGACGATGGTGTTTTACCGCAGGAAAACCCTTATTGCAGCCTCAGCAGACAGGCTGTTAAGGATTTTTACATAGCACATTAAAAATGTATCAGGCCCATGTCTACCCAGGCGAAGCCATGTTTGCTTCCATCAATTTTATGAGTCGTAAATTTAATCATTTCAAATGTTTGACTGCTGTTCTCACAAAATAAACGTGTTTATGTACAAATGACACATGCTTTTTACATTTTATATGAAGAATTGATCATATTGTCTTCAAGTCATTGACAGTTAAAGAGTGACTTTCTGGATCTATTGTCCAACTTTCTTTGTCCATTTAGGCTACTTTAAGAAAAAGAATACAAAGAACTTTATTAATCTCCGAAGGGAAATTCAATTGTCTGTTGTCTTATTCGTCATTTCAATCTAAAAGTTATCTGCTACACAAGAGTTATAAAGTCTGATGGCTGTGGGTACAAAAGATCTTCTTAATCTCTCTGTCCTGCAGTGAAGAGAGAGGAGCCATCCACCACCATTGGCCCTTTCGTTGTGAAGTGGGTGATCCATGTTCTTTAGAATAGTCTCCACCTTCCTCAGTGTAGATCGCTCCACCACATCCTCCACTGATTCCAGCTTGATTCCAACCACAGAGCCAGCCTTTTTCACCAGTTTGTTCAGATGTCTTACATCTTTGTGTTTGATGCTTCCTCCCCAGCAGACTGCAGCATTGAACAGAACACTTGACACTACAGACTGATAAAACTTCTGCAGCATCTTACTACACATGTCTACTGATCTGAGTCTTCTCAGTCTTCTTCATTTAAAGCTGATGAGGAATCTTTGACTGTCTCTGAAGCAGATAGAAATTAATGTTGACGTCTCCTTCTGCCCCTATAATGCAAGCAGAACCTTCAACAAGAAGAGTAACAATTTCTTCAGTTATTTTTTATGTCTGAAACCACTGTTGGGGGGTAGGTGTCAGATGAGGCAATTTGGCACACTGGAGCTTTAAATAAGCTGATGCTTTAAGCAACCTTTTCTACAGCACTGTTTTTTTGTTTATGTAAGGGACAGCAGCATAATTAACAATACCTTTGTTTGTTTAAACAGAGAGGTTTATTGCCCAACACTGAAAATACAAAACACTTTATAGTAATAAGAAAAAACCATCTTTGTTGGGTGGAAATAGACATGTTTTATGTACACACCATGCAACATTTTACGAAAATAAAGCAGTATTTACAACATGATGCCCGCCCCTAACCAATGTTGCTGATTAGTCACTGAGCTCCTCCTCATCACTAAAGTATGCACTCTTTTTGATCCTGGGTTTCTTAGAGTCTGTAGATGTTGAAGCATCAGCATCATCCTCTTGAGACACACGTGCCTGCTTCCTTTGTTTCTCCTCTTCTTCCTCCATACAGGCTTGCTGAAGGGACAAAAACATATATTTATATACAGTACATATTTCAGAGAAAGTGTTTCCTGTTACCCAATTTACACAATGTGCTTATTTGTTTTTGACCACATGTTGTACCTGAAAAGCAATTGCTTGGCTCAGACTGTCTAATTTTGGGTCCTCTCCTTCTTCTTCGCTTTCTTCTTCTTCTTCACTGTGGAGGAGAAATGATGAGGAAATTACCAAACAGATACAGCCCACTCTACAGCACTGTTTAATGTCAGCTATGATCAACATACACATGCTCATGTTGTTCAGCTTTTTTCCTTTTTTTCTTTTCTTTCTTCTTCGGAGGTTCCCTCTCCCCAAGGATGTTTTTAGGGCATGCATAACTCAGGTGACCTGTTTCCTGTGACATAAATAACAAAACAACAAATATGTTTTTCATTTCAAAAGATGATTCATATATATACTAACATTTTGATAAGGAAAAGAAAGTATCCATAATGCACTGACCCCACACTCATAGCATTTAGACTTGTCTGTGTAGTTTCTCCTCCTTATAAACTCAGTTGCACGCCCATTATCTATGGCAATGCTCGCTTTGACTGTTCTGCCAAACAACTGTAAGACAAACATGTTAATTCTGACACAGCTGCTTGTGATCACAACAGAAGTGTTAAACAATCATGATGGTGTTGTTGTGCAGACTCGCCTGTTTGTTGTTTACTGCTCTTGCACAATTGTGAGCAGATTCTCGGTCCAGGAAAAGCACAAACGCCACTCCTTTGCTCTGGCGAGTGTCTCTGTCCTTGACAATTGTAACCCTGAAATATGAAAAAATTAAAAAATTATCCATAAAGAACATATTTTGGATCACTACATCAAGGCAATCATAGTTTGGTCTCTAACTTGTGTATCTGCATATATTTCAAGATGTTGTGCATCCCTGCAAACCAACAGAATGAGTGTAAACATAACTGTCTTAATAATATAGAATGCCAAAAAAGTGGTGTCCTATGGTCAACTTACCCTGTGTATGGGGTAAGTTAACCATAGGAGCAGGGTAAGTTGAGCAGTATCCCTACTATCCCCCACTCTCCACCTCAGCCCTTCCTCACCTGCTCTCTTCCTAAATAACAGTCACTTCTTCACTTTCATGTGTATTTTTATCTATTATATGCCATTTAACTGGTACAATAATTCTTTTTATTATTATTGCATATAACTGCTAAACAGCTGTTTAAAAAAAAAGTCATTTTAACATGAGAATGTCTTTCAGTGATTCAGAACATTCACAGCTGTATTTTTGAAAAGACAAAGTAACACATTTCAACAATCTGAACTGAAACTCTGATCCTCTCATCAGACTCCTTTACTTTCTAAGTTGAGCCACTGACTCAACTTACCCCAGAACTAATATTGTGACTTTATTAGTCCTCTAAAATAAAATGGTGGACTTTAATGCAAGCTTTTTGACCTCATGTTGTAGCTCATAGATACCACAATTGATGTAGAAACAAATTTAAAATTATCTTTTTTGGTCTGAGTAATTCTAATAAAACTTATGACAGACTAAAGTCACTTTCAAGAGTGAAAAACGTATATAAATATTTTTTTAAATAAATGTCTAACCTCTTCACCCATGTGCTTCTAACCTTCACAGACTCCATGAATTGATGCCCATCTCCTATATATTTGGTCACTTGATCAATTTCTTTGACCATTTCCAAGCAACAGGGGGTGGCTCGACTTACCCTATGGCTCAACTTGCCCCACTCTCCTCTACATTCTGGCTGCTTTTACTCTCATGTGCACATTGCTGCAAACATGGATGGTCTAAGAAAAAGTTATTTCAGCTTTTACTTACTTTACTACTTTTCCATACTTGGTAAACAGCTGAAATGAAAAAAAAGCTCTGTTTCAGTGAGATGTTCGTTTTGCTTTCTGTATTGAGGTTATTTTTATGGACTTTCACAGAGATTGATTGTTACCTTGTGCAAATCATTGTTTGTGAGGGAGAAAGGTAGGTTAGACACATAGACAGTGCTTTTACTTGGTGCCAAACCTCCACTCATACTGGACGCCTAGGAGACCCTAGAAAACAAAATAAAAAAGCTTTTAGAGGAAAAAGAAAATTCTACTGCGTCGACAAATTTATTCATGCTACATCTATCTACTTTTAAACCCAATTTACAGCAGCCGAGTAAACAAACAAAAAGTACTTACCGGCACAACTTCCTATCTTACAAATGATCCACTCTGGACCAAATATTCCGAGTTTTATATATTTTCCAGCAGGTTACCTCTACCAAACAAACGCCATGTCTTTGTCGCTTCTTGGTGACGTGACGGATCCATTGACCAATAAGAATACCGTATTCCATGTAGCCAGCGGAACTAACGGCTATGCTAGCTGAGCGCTAGTGGAAGGTGAGAATGTTTTGCTGTTTTACATCGCATAAAATATACTTACTGTGCATTTGTTGAAGCTCATTTGTCCTAAAGATGATGCATTTCACACTAAATATTTATCTGCGGTTTTTGGAAGAGAGAATTAATGAGTTAATCTCTTTTAGGTCTTTAAAACGTGCGGGTGTTTGCAACATAAGGACGTCAGCTAACTAGCAATGTTAGCTGTCTGCTCCCCATGAAAACAGCTGTCAGTAAATCTGCTGTCATGGAAGAAAACAGTTTTTTTATTTTATAGTTTAGGTCACTCTGGTTCTACATGGTACAGTGTGTTTGAGTCGTGGACCCTGTACCTTTAGACCCTGTTGAAAGAGAGCGCAGCCGGCAGTTTTAGGATCACATGTGGTGTTTCAACTGCAACTGATATTATGATCCATACTCAGTAAATTTCTGTTACATGCGCTCAGTTTGCATCTACATTTAAAGCAGATTTCATTGCCCATTGTAAACAGAATCTGTTCGGGTCTTCAGGATTTTGTTTCTTTTTACAGATTTCCGTCAAAGATCAATCAGATCCTTCAATCAAAAGTAAGTTAATACTGAAAACCTTTCTATCACATCATGTTAAAGTCATTTAAACACTTTTCCATTAAAGAAATGCCTCTACAGTTCTTGGTAAATCACTTTTATAGACTTTTATTCTTCCTTTTTACTTTGTTTTTGTTTTTACTCTTAACTAGGGCTGGGCGATATGGGCGAAAGTTTATCACGATATTTTTTTTCATATCAGTCGATATCGATATATATCACAATATAAAAAATGGAATTTAACAGGGCTTGTTGGTGGCATGTCTGTTGCAAAACAATAAGCTACTGCATCTGTGAGGTCTTTGTGTCTCTTTGACGTTTTGTCGTGAGGTGTTGAACTAGATCAGTGGTTCTCAAGTCCAGTCCTCGAGGCCCACTGTCCTGCATGTTTTGGATGTTTCCCTGCTCCAACACACCTGATTCAAATGATCAGCTCGTTATTAAGCCATTACAGAACTTGATAACGAGCTAATCATTTGAATCAGGTGTGTTGGAGCAGGGAAACATCCAAAACATTTTTACGTTTTATCGCCCAGCCCTACTCTTAACCAGTGTGATCTTTTTTCCCCCACATAATTATTCCAACCCTTTTCTAATAACAATACATTAATAGAGACACATTTTCCCCCTTTTGAGGGTTTCTTATCTTCATCTTATCTACATCTAAACTGGCAAAGTAATCCTGCATCATAAATCTTTGTTCTCTATCCTACAAAAGGTTTATGCTTGATTTGAGAAGACCAGCAAAACCAAAAGTCATGATTCTTCCCATTTCTCTCTCACAGCCTGCATGCACCTTCCTGTAATCTGGTGAAAATTACTGTCATGGAGTATTTTTCCCTAAAGCCTTTCATAGATAATCAAGAAAATTCACCTTGCCAATGATGTTTATTATTAAAGAAGCTTATATATTTATTGTTTAACCTACATAAAAGCCTGTGTTGCGCCTCAGAATCTCAGTTTTTTTATTGTTGTTGTTGTTTCTTGCAGTGACATACAGGAGAGACAGGAATATAAGAGAAGTCTATGAGGAACGGTTTTTAACAGAGAGGCCGGTGAGTTTAACTTCATGGTCTGCTTTGTTTTCTTTATTTAATAATTCCTCTTTCATTGAATGACAGATGCTTCAGTATACGGATTTCTTTTAAAAGCATTTCTTTTACTGATATCACAGTAAGCTACGGATCACTGTAGAGAGTGAATAGTGGAGTAAAACAACTAAGAGTTCTTGCATTGATGAACAATAATGATTGCTCTAACAAAGTGGTTGCACAACATCTCATGCAAACTGGAGTAAGACAAGGATGTTATGATAAATTAATATCTTCATCAGGTACAAAAGTCTTAAAAAGGCTCCTGTAAACCACAAGTCATTCAAAATGACGTGTATAAGCAGCAATAATTAAAATAAAATCTACATAACAGATTTGAAATTTAACTTTAACTGTTAATTGTTAATTTTGAATAATAAACTGTGTCCGTTCTGGTAGGGGCCATACCCACGACCAGCAGGAGGGGTAGAGAGAAGAGGACCCTTCGGCCGGCCAGAGGAAGACTATGGTCGGGGAGGATACGAATATGAGGGAGGTCCACGGTTTTTCCCGAATGGTGGAGGCCCACGGAATTACCATGAAGAGCAAAGAGGCTACCATGGTGACAACGTACATTTCCCTGCTGAACGCAGAAATGTGCCGCCATCAAGGAGGGTGAGAGCGTGAATATCATACATATGACGTGCACAAATTTTAGCAGAGATCAAACAGAAACATATAAGACACTGAAAGGATTCTTAAGACAGAAATCCTTAATCTATATCCTGTTTCCAAATGGCTAACAAAATAAAAAGAACTGATGGTTTTAATTGACGGTCTGGTTTGCTTCTCTCTTTTTAAACTCTTACAGACTGAATGTAAGAAGTTTGAGTCAAATGTCAGAATGTTTTGCATCAGGCACTTGAGAAGAAACAATAAATATTGATAAAAAAAATCCCTTATCAAATGCTCGTTCGGCATATTCCGCAATGTTCTCTTCCTCTCATAAATCTTTCACCACTTATACCACCAATTGCAGCAGAGTCTGGAGATATTTTCAGATTGACTCCAGGAGCCCTAAACATTGCATGAACTAAAACTGTTAGAAATGAAAGGGAAACGATCATGACTGTCGAAAGATGAAAAAATGTGTAACTGCATGACATGTCAGTACTTTTGGTTCAGTATGAGCTACCAAAAGTGTCCAGCAGAGGGTGCTCTAGTTTCAGATTTGACTTGACCAAGTGTATGCTGAACTGTAACAATTCATTTAAAACAACATAATAAAGTAACCTGTTGGACATTTACATTCTGTTAGAAAGTGACCAAAGTGCTCTTAAAACTCTTAACTCTGATCCATTTGATGTTGTTTTTTTCATGGTTTATACTGTTGGTTCACTTAACTTTTTCATAGCATTGCATGTCTTGACACTCATTTATTTATGTGCAGTAAATCAGTTTGAAAGTGGTGCATTATGAAAAAATATGGTAACTGAAGAGGGACATTTTTATAGAATAAGTCTAATTGAGACACTTCTTTTGGCTTTTTAAGATTTAAGGAAGTGATTGATAAGTTTAAGGAAATCTGTGTTTTTTTGTGATGTAAAGGTAGCCAACAAAGGTTGCTTTAATTGGGGTTTCTTTTCTCACATTTCTCTATAACACAGGAGGACTATCCTTACAGAGGACCCAGAGAAGACCAACACACAGGACGACCAATGGAGTTTGGGTAACATTGCTGAACAGCGTCTGTATTTAGGACATAGATTAGGCCGCAAATTCAAAGCAGCACGATTGTTTTGACAGTTTTACAGGTTTTACTCTGGTCCCACTCTATCAACCCAAAAGCCAAAAAATCAACTTGGTGCTTCAAGCACTTTTGAGCTGCTCAATTTAATGTGAAAAGTCTTTGAAGTGTTGCTGTGGAAACATGCTGTAGTGTTGAAGTACATCAAAGAAAATGAACATCTGACTAACTGTATTACCTGAATTAATATCTTAGAAAGGAAGCGGACAAGTCTCATAAAAGTACTTCTTGTTATGAGCAACTTGGTTTTAAATGTAAAAACTTTAAAAAGTAATTTTACATCAACATGTAAATTTAAAGCTGCAAACCTAATGAAACCATTTCATTTAACCCTTGAATTGAACAAAAATGACCTGTACGTACTTGTTGCTCATTGATACAGAATGCTTGTGCACTTTATGTACCCACAACTGATCAAACATCTGTGTGTTTCCTTAGCGCCCGAGCTCCACCTCCTCATGGTGTACGAGGCCAAGGCATTTACCCCGCAGCCAGATCGCTCCCTGAGGGCGGAGAAGACACACTGGTGCAAGCCATCCTCAACCTGGACAGAGGGTACGAGTAAATGCAGGTGTAATCATTGCATGAGACAATCGTGTGTTGTGTGATTGCAGTGGCTGCAGTAACAATACAGTAACAGTACCAAATGTCACTGCTTTTTAAATCATCTCACTAAAAATGCCATTAGTGCAAGATTCTTTTATATGTGAGTGTATGTTTTGATTTTCCAAAACAGCTCATGATATCGTGTTAACAGTCCACACATGCCCTTTGTTTCTCCAGGGAGGACAGAGACCACTACAGGCGAAAAGCCGCCCAGTTCCCTCCTCTCAGAGAGCGATCCCCTGTGCGCCGTGAGGTAGCCCGCTCGCCCCACAGTCGCTCTGGCTCCAGCGTCAGCAGCAGAGGCTACTCACCAGACAGAGCTAAGGGCCTGCCGTTTCCATCACAGCAAGGCAAGAGTATGTAGATCCTAGCCCTCCCAGTCATACCACAGGGCTCTTTAAACCCTTTAGTCTCCAGCCTGATATTTGTACTATTAAGTGGATAGTTGGTAAAGATTCAGAGTTGGCACCTCCTAAAATGTACAGATGGATTAAATGGCAGCACAGGCAGACAGATCTTGATCATCCCAAACTGGCATTGCTACCAAAATAAAACAATCAAATCAAATGCCTGTGTCTGAAGTAAAATTAATTTGGGAAAAAAACACTGAAGTGATTGAAGACAGTAAACCACAGAAAGAAAATCATAGTCCAGACCTTTTAGTTTTCCTCCATTTCTCCTTAACTGATTATCTGGCTGGTTGACTTCCAGGTTTGGACGGTCCAGAAGGTCATTCAGGTGTCCCTGAGCACCACTGGGGGGCACTCTTTCCTCAGCAGAGTGGACATGACACTTCGGGTCTGTACAGTGAACCACGAACAAGCTGGGACCTGGGTGACAACAAGCCAATTTTCAGTCCTGGCATGTCTCCTTGCACCCTTGTCACGTCAGGAAAATGTCAGTGTACAGAGTGTAGGAAGTGATGGCATTTCCTCCTGGACATGAGAAGAATGCAAGGAGAAAGGACGGACATTTGAAGGATCTACAAAGTTAACCTGTATATATTAAAACCTATACATTTAAAATACAAAAAAAACCCACACAAATTCCAAACACAAACTTGCAGAGACCACAAACTTTGTCACCCAGGTCTGTAGAAGCACCTATCTCGAGTTTTGAACAATTACCAAGTTGTATTTGCTGTAATTATCATTTCAACGACCTGCTGTGGGGTTACTTCAGCATTGTCCTTGGTTCCTACATTGATATATAAGTCTTAATGTTAAACTAAGAACTAAAGAGGCTGTATAAAACACACATATACAAGGAATTTGACTTTGGTAAACAATAAGTTTAAATGCAATTTGCAATAAGCATCAGAATGCTCACCAAATGTTGAATCCTTGGAACTGTAACCGAGCATTGCTGAAGTAGCTCCCTTTCTGTTGCATGTTTGACTAAAAGATCAGGACCTCTGCAAGTTTTTCAGGTAGTTTAGTGGGTCTGCAACTGTCCGTATTTCCTCTCGGTACTTTCAAATCCAGTGGACTACAGCACCGCCAGTGGGCCTCATGATTATGCAGAGAATAATGTGTTCAAATCTGTAAATAGACATTAGCACTGTCCGTTATTTGTTGGAGGGGGATGTTTCATGTGCTTTGTAGTTTGCTGAAGGAAGAGAAAACCTTGTTCTGCTGCAAACAGCTAATGACTCTGCGGTTTTGTCTTCTGAACAGGCTACGAGGAGACTTATTCTCAGACCAAGATGCAAGGTAAGTGAAGTATTGTCATATGAGGCAATGGTGTAAACACTGCTTTGACATCAAATTGGGTTTTTAAATTGATTTATTTTTTAATACAAATTAATAAAAGCTGGGTCCGATTGCATGTCAAGGATTTGTTTCAGGATGTACAAAGGTTACAATCATTAAACTTAACCTATTCCCAGTCTGTGTAACCTGATAGAGACAGAGAGCGTTTCTAAAATGTCCCACAGCCAGCCAGCCTCCCCGCTCCGTCTGCCACTTTGTCAGGCCTCATAAAAACGCCACCAGGTCGTGTGTGGAAGAACGTGGAGAGAGTATAGGATGTCTGATGGATATTCCTGAAGGCAGAGCATCCAGATCGGGGGTGTTTTTGTTTCATAGCGAGGTGCTCAGAGATCATGTTTTTTTTTCTCTGTAGGTTTGAGCCGGTCAGTAAAAAGAAAAAAAAACCTGAGGGTTGCTAGAATGAGGAACAAATGGAAAAAGAGGGAGGAGGTGGTGTCTGAGTGATGAGTGAGATTCTGTACAAAGAAGAAATGTGTGTTATGAGCAGGATCGCGAACCATCTGTTTGCTGGATTGTTCCAGATGTCCTAGGCTTGAAACCTATCTGGATCAAGGACTCTTAACTGCCCAATAAGCACGAGCTTGTAATTAATTTCCAGACATAATAGATGTCCTTCAGCAACTCTTTTCTAACCACGCTTTGACTGTTATTTTTGCTTCTTCCTGATTTCTCAAACTGAAATATCTTGTTTTCTTATTTTTCCAGAGAAAATCCCCGGCCTGTCGAGAGAGGGCTCCCCACACAGCGCCACCTCAGTTAAGGTGAGCTTGAGTGGACGAAAAAATGAGAAAATCTTTTATAATGAGAAATACCAAACTGTGATACCGTTTAACTTTTGCTAGACTTTCCCCAAACAAGCACCAACCCAAGCCTTTACTTGTTTTATGGATAAAAACCCTGTTTTATTTTAGCTGAAGCATATATTCTGGACTATCATTGTCGCTTTACAGCAAGATGCATCTGGAAGTTGTTAAATTCTATCCTTCTAATAAGTGTTTAGCTCCATTGAAGTATGTTAATGGGTTTTAAAGTGGCCCTCACGCAGAGCAGAAAAGCCATGAGGCCTGTGCTTTGTTTACCTGTGTTGTAAGCACACTTCAATCACAAGAACTAGAAATGGTGTAGGGAAAGCGCTTAGATGTCGGCAAGGGCTCAAATCATGCCTCCTCCCTTTTTTTAATAAGATAATTAACCTGTTTTAAACGTAGATCCGTCCTGCCTGTTTGGAAATTGATAGCTTGTTTTGCTGATATCCTCTGTGTCCAACAGTGCAGAGAAGTGTAAATAGAATCAGATGTGATTAGGCACAGACTGTGGCCACCCAGTAGTGAAGAGGCTAACTCAGTAGTTGAAGTCAAAGCTTTATCATTGGATCTTTGCCTCAAAGCAAAGAGGAGTCTCCGAGGAGCTCATTTGGATGTGTTTAGACCGATTACAAAGAACAATCGTTTCCTTTTTCTGGTGAGAAGTATGAGTCGCTGTGTTTGGGAGCTCTGACTGTCAGGCAGGTCAGCAGTCTTGAGCTCGTGAGAAACCGATGTGCGTCACAGGGGTCGTAGAACAAAGCTTTAATGTGTCCATAAGAAACCAGCATCATGTCTTATACACTTAAGTCATCTGATGTAGAGATGAGACAGGATCTAATTTTTATGATATGAAGGTGTTAATCAACTGGTTATAACCGCAGGACTAATTATATCTGACAAGACACGTTATATCTTTGTATACAAATGAAGTCTGACAACTAGCGAAAGATGTATGTCTGTGTCGAGTGCTGCTGTTTTTACTGTCAACATTTAATGTAGATCAACCAACTGTGACCCTCTCCCTCCCTGCCATCAATATAATCTACACATACACACACAAAAGAAAAACAGTGACTTATGTTACACAAAACATGCGGCACATCAGAGCCAAGGTCAGCTCTGTGGGAGTGACAGGCATGAAAAAGTATGGAAATTCCAACTGTGTAGGAACCCTTACTTTTTAGAATTATTTTTGGAAATACCAAGTTTTTATTTTAGAAAACAGAATTTGAGAACTGTGGTAATAGTCTGAAAACATAAATATTTTTCCATACTTAGTTTTTCATTTTCCATACTTTTTAAGACCTGGAAATTGATCAAATTTATTTCCATACTTTCCATACTTGCGTAGGAGCCCTGAAGTGAGTATACGACAGGTTAACTACCCAAAGCACTAACTCGTGATTTGAGTCGTTGACTTGTCCACTGGTCAGGTAGTTGGTGAAATCCTTACTTTCTTAGTGGACAAAAAGTCTCTCTATTATTAATGTTGCAGGGAAAGACTTCAAGCAAGCTCTTTAAAAGGTACTATATGTATCATAGAATCATTATCATTATCATAAAAGAATCTTGAAAAACAAGAAGAGTTCCTCTACAATTTTATTTCATGTGAATTTGTTTGTTAATGTATGAAAATTTTACTCAGGTATCCCTTTTTGTAAAGCTTCTTTATTTTTACTGTTTATTTTTTCAGTTAACACAAAGGATTTTGATGTTATTTCTGCAAAATCTGTTTCTAGCCTTGGTGCGAAGAGATGATGATGATGTTAAAGTTGCAGAGAAAGACACTGCACAGCAAATGGACTTCTCAGAAAGTCATTTATCCCTAACTACTAACTGCACAGGCATTACTGAAACGTTGGCACAGATTAGACACTGAGGGACGATGATTGCTGAAAGGGTGGCTCTAAAGCTTCTGCTTCATCAACTTCAAACACATAAAATAAACATGTTTTAGATCCCGTTTTTCCTCTCTCCTCATTAGGCAGGTGCAGAATTCCAATTTTGGTCGACTTATAAGTATCAATCCTAAAAAGGCCAGTCTGTAACACCACAATATTAACTCCGGCTGAAAACAATTTCTCAATCAGTAGTGACTGCTCTTATTTTTCTTTGTGGATGCTCTGTTAATACCAGACAAACACTCATTATTTCCCACGTTCCCTAGATTTGAAAAGCCAGTACAGCTGTGTATCCCAGTGCCTCTTTAACATCCCCGCTGTTTTGATCCATCTCATTAGCGGTCTTTAGATCTTTCCCAGCACACGCTGGAGGTCATTTGAGTGTTCACATTGATTGCTACAGTGGGCACCTGGATGTCTTTGCAGCTCCTCCCCTTAACTTTATTTTTCAGAAATTACAAGACACAAGATAAAAGAAAGTCGTTTCCACTCCTCCTAATGTCCATTATTGTGCAGGAACCACCCACCGCCACCCAATCAACTGCTGTGATGAAAGTTCACTAAAAGCCCCACCCCTCCGTACGCACACATACACACCACTGCTGTTTTGCTGTGTTTGATTTAGCCTGTGGTGCATTGTTGTCCTCCATTCTGGGGGCACAAACCCATAACCTCGGCGAAGATGAAAGACTCGCGCTGTGCCCCCAGTAAAGCTTGAACTTCTGGCCCCCGCCACTGCCTGCTGTGGGGATTCAACAAACACACACGCAGGCTTTCTGGAGCCATCCCAGACGGAAGAGACCAAAGAGAGGGCCTAAAGAGCAGCCCCGGCTCTGGCTGCGAGCCACTGTGGCCCAGTGGGTGGGAGAGCACGTCCTGTGACTGAAAAGGTCACCAGGTTCTGTCCCTCTTAAAGCCATCAAATTCCTGTCAATTCCAGTATGATAACCTTTTAACAACCAAGATAATTACTTCAGTTTAGGTATGGGAACAACAAGAGCAGCACAGGCAGTCATTTGAAAAGAGGTCTTCCAGTCATTGTGATATTTTTAACTGCCTTTGGTGGCTCTGGGAACAGCAGTGTTGGCTCGTCTCCTGCCTTTATTCTTCATATTGCCTTTGAGTTTTGCTGTAGTGCCCATCAGGTGTATATTAGTGGTTTACTCAAGCCGATGCAGAAATGCAAAAAGTTGCCGTTTGTGTAGGGTGACCGTATAGAGGACACGACTACGCAAGGGCAGAGTCACAGAGTTGCACAAAGTTAATTTTGAGAGAGGGTCCGATCGAGTGTCTTTTTCGTGCTCGTAACTCAGTAAGTCCATGTGACACAAAATCAAAACTTTTGTACAAAGCCGCGGACATTTGAATGATTTTATAAACTTCCCCTGACAAAGCCAGACAAGCCCAGACATCCCCCAAAAGAGAGAACATGTCCGGGTAAAAGAGGACGTATGGTCACCCTACATTTGCGTCCACTTGAGGCCGACTCGGCAGACAAATGTCCATGATTCAGAGAGGTTTCAATTTCAATATGAGCTCTAATGAGGATTCTTTAAGTTTCTTAGTTTTTGACCAAGTTTGCACACCAGTAGTTATGAAATATATTGAAATGCCTCATATGCTCCTAGACGTTGGGTTTCACCACCAACTGTATCCTTGCTTCTCAAGTTGCTGATCAGATTGCAGAGAATGAATGCATGAAATGACAAGTCTCTACTATGGATTTATCTGTGTGTTTGTTTTTAATAACCTTTACAGACGGTTGAGTTAAAAAAGAAGGTATTACAATTTTGATCCAGAGGATTTAACTCAAAACTTTCCCTGAATGGGGATTTGTGTGTAAATGAAGGGAGTGAGACAAACGCACGACCAAATCAGGATTCTCCAACAGCCCTCTTTTGAAAGGTCAGTTCATTGTTCACTGAACCAGGGGAGCTTTATTTCCTCCGACAAATCTGAACTGGAGCTAAACCCGTTTGGAAGATATTTTAAAGGAAAATATCTACCAATCGCTTTTCACTGATCTTCATTTACTGAGTCCACATCTTGAACTGAGAGTGGGACATCATCTCCTCTAGGTAAATGGTTCAGACAAGGATGTATTTTCATGCCCACGGAGGAGACCGCCAAACTCAATCTTTTCCAACCCAAGCATTGCTTCAGGGAGGGAGTCGAGGACAGGAATAACTGGATGATGCTTTACGAGCTGCGCCTTTTATTTTGGACCTCACTCTGCTTTGTGATGTGCCATCCTATGTAATTTCTCTCCTCGGTCATGTAGAGATTTAATATAACTTGGTCTGCAGCCTGTTTTTCTTATTGTATGAGTGGTCTTGAGTCACGGTTGGGCAGTTGTGTGTTCAGGACTACAAACTCGAATAACATCAGGAAATGAGCAAAAGTAAATGAGCGGTGATCCCAGCCGGACCTCGTTTTTGTCTCTTTCTTTTGGCTCTGACTGTAGTTCTTATAGGTACTAAAGTTTCCTTTCTGCCTATTAGGAGACTCATCATGTCTTGTCCAGCCAGGTTTCCTTTCCTGGAGATGTAGTAGAAACAGCTGAAATGTCCATTTACACAATTTACACAAAAGACAGGTTTATAGAAGGATGTTTTACCCATCATTTTTGAATAATGAAGAAACGTCCTCTTTCTACGGGCAGCACAAACCTACATTTCCTCATTTTTCAGCTTGTAATAGTCGCTTAAATCTACACCACCATGCTGTGGCCATTCAGCACGCTCTGGCTTTTCAGCTGTAGAAGCTACAGTGTAACTAAGCTTCATCCTTTGGTGCACCTCATTAACCACATCTTTCCTGAGAGGTTAAACAGTCAGTAGGTCCCTCTTTGTGCCTGCACTTAGAGTCGCTGACCTTTCACATCCTCTCAGTCGTGTACTTGCTCTAGCTCTAGAGGCAAGCCTTTTAAAACATTAATCATTTCTGTTAGCCGGCCAAATCGGAGTCTTACTTTAAGCACTTACTCAGCCCAATCTCTCCCTTTGTTTCCAGGAGGAGAGCCATCCACCAGAAGCAGAAAAAGAGGATCTCCTTGTTGCTCCAGTGGTGGAGGAGAGCCAAAAGCCATCCACAGACAACTTCCTAGAACGACGAGCCCTCGCCATCGCGGCCAAAGCTCAGGAAATAGAGACGGTACTCAAACAACTCACCCTTACATTGACTTCTAAGATTTACGTACATTAAACTAACCATTCAGCTGAAAAGTGTTGAAAATAACCGAGCAAAAGGAAGCTTGGTATTAAAACAACTCACCATCTATTTTTACCAGGGCTTTTCGTAAGGTACAATCTCTTTCAGTCATGCTCCAAAAGTGCTTTAAACTTTTTTCACATTCAGTATTTTTACACCTTTAGACTAGCGTCATTTTAAAGATTCAATCTTCACTGTTTTAGGGAGACACCCTATCTTAAATAGTTCACTGGCAACCGTTTTATGGCGCATTTGTCAAGGCAAATGCGCAACAATTTTAATTGCGTGTAAGCAGCTGAACCTTGGAAAATAACTACATTTACAGTCCTCTCATTACAAGTCAGTAATTTGTCAGTCTGCTCTATAAATGTCAGTTGGCTATGTGTGTGACACATGCTGTACAATCCCTTTTAATATAGTGGCCGTGACTTCTCTGACTCACACGTGGCTCACTTTACTGGCAAGGCAGAAAACCTATGATGCTGCCAACAAGACAGGAAACGAACTTCTCTGACCACCAGCCACAGACGTGGGTTCATCCTGAAGTTCACCTTTTAACTTCTGAGTCCAGAGTTTCTTTTTTGAGATGAGTAACAAGTGTCTCAGAGTTGCTCTTTGTCATATTTAGTGTCTTTTTTTCATGTGGTTGTGTTTAATCTTCTTCCTGACTGAAATAACAACTCATTATACCCAACTTGGTGGCCCACGTGGCTCAGAAATTTAAGCTCTCCCTGTGTGTATAAAGATGAGTCAAACACACACACACACACACACACACACACACACAGGCCTGGATAACAGGGTTTAAGATACAAGGTGCAAGAGCCCATAAACCAAAGCAGAAACACAAGTACAGCTTAGACATGCTAGAGCTCTGCGCTAACAATAAATTTCAGAGGCCCACTACTAAACAGAGCGCAAACTGCCCCAGGCTGGAGGCTCCAGCTTCGCTCGGTTATCTAATGAAGCCCATTCCTGCACCAGTGAACACCACCGCTGCTTTACTGGGACTGTTAAACCTTAGCCAGATCTGCCCCAGAGCGCACTCTGCATTCTCACATATAGCTCCACCACACAGCCTGCTATAATACTGTTGCTGACTCTGCAGCTCCTGACCTGTTTTATAGCCGGTCTTTATCCCCCCATCTGCACGTCTTTGTGTTAAATGGAGCTCTATCCTGTGAGCTACACCTCAGTTTCTCAGGTGTGATAAAAAGTTTAAATGCAGAATACAGATTGCCATTAGATCTACCAGTATTTTAGTTGATTCTGTTTGGGGTTTTTAGTCAAATTGATGTCTTTTGCTTTAACATTATATCAAGTCATGATATTGAGGATTGGAAAGAGTCTCTAAAGGTCTTTACACACCAGGCATTAGGTGAAATACGCAAATAAGCGACGCCAAAAGGTGTTTTCGCCAGCGATTTTGCTCTGTACGGGCTTTTTCCTTTTCTTTTCTTCATATACAAATGTTTACTGGACTTTGAAGAAGTTGCCCCAAGCTGGTTAGTTAGCTAGCTTAGCTTCACATTATATTAGCTATATTACACATCTATGTTTGAGGATGGACTTAACATCAGTATACTCACCAGGTGAGTTGAGGTCTTCTTTTATTTCCTGCCATATATTTTCTTTGAGGAGAGGGTCATGAAATATTTTAGGGACTTGTCCCATAAAGCAGGGCGCTCGATAAAGCGCTCAGTCATGATGAATGAATGCAGACTAGGGCTGATGCCGCCAGTGAAGTTTGGATTTGACGTCATCGACATAACATCATTTTGATTGGTGAGAGGTCTGGCCGTTCGCCTTTTTGCCTCCGCAACATTCAACACAAGAGCAAATGAACAACAGTCGCTTTTTCTGATTCGCGAATTTTAGCTGCCAGTGTGTAAGGTCGCATTGACTTCAACAGGTTAAAGAAAAAGTTAATGATTCGCCTCTCAAGTTCGGTGTGTAAAAACCTTTACAGTTGATAATAATGCTGTCCTCACTTTGCTGTCTTTGTGATGTGGGGCAAACTGAATTTTCTGTCAGATAGAAAAGAAACATAAGAATTTATTCCAAAACTGATCCTGGTATATTCTCATTTTCTTACTTCCACGCTCCAATCAAAACCCTCAGAGAATCACTTTCACATGACGCTTGGTTGCCTGCCAAAGTGGCATTTGGAAAATGTATAAGCACTTGTCCGGTGGCTGATATTAATTTCCCATCATGGCCAGAACACACAGCCAAACACTCTCAAGTCAGGCTTTCTGTTTCCACGCCAAAACAACAGAGTCACTTTCTCATGCCGCACTGTTTCTGTTGCAGTCGACAGCTCGTGTTTAGCCGTTTGACAAGTGTCGGCCAGATGTTTGGCTTTCTGCGCCCAATCTGGTCTAGCCATCTCGTTCGAACACATGGACACAAACACACTGCTGCCCGGTAGCTCCTGGTTTACTGTCTCTGCACCCGTTTCCATACATTCAAAGCTACACTTTCCATCATCGGCCAGACATCACGCTGGGCTGCGTTTATTCCAGCGCCGCACTGTGTGTTTGTGTAGCTAAGTGAAATTGGTCTGCTGAAATTCAACCTGAACCCCGCTCTCATTGTCAGAGTTGACTTTGGCTGCAGTACAGACCCGCTGGTTACATTGAGTGACAAGCCATGAGAGGCAATAAAGCATACGATGCTTTACCCTTCCTCAAAATCCAGGCTGTGTTACAAAGAGAGTTTTATTTCATTTGTTGAAGGAAATCTAAATATATTTGGCTACAAGACAGACAGCCAGACAGTTCCGGCCCGTTTTTATTTTTGGTACAAAGATGGCAGAACTGGACTGAGGCCCCAGCTCCGGCTCTTTTTTCTCAAGCCAGGCCTCTCCCGCTTCAACTGACTGCAGAAAAATAAAGCACAGAGAGAGTTTAGAGATGGAGACAGTTCTGAATCGACCCCACCCAAAGTCAAGAAACTGGTCCTTTCCTTCCTGATTGGATAACAAGGGAGGGGGTTTCAAGGAAGTGCGTTTGAGTACGGGAAGTACGTTTTCAGCACATTGTTATCTAGGAACAACGCTCCCTCTATGCATTGGAGTACTTGTTCGCACTCTTGATTGGTTACTTCCTCAGAGCAGGTGATTAAAAAAAGATCTTTCATGAGTTATAATCTGTTACAGTCGAGTGGAAAAAGATTAAAGAGACATTTCTTTGTGCTAAATTTAGCCCAGAAAAGCACATTTTGCTCACAAGCTCATCAGTCTGTCTAATGTGTAACATTTTGATCATTTACTGAGCAGAGGGAACACACAGGAGCTAAAAACAGAACCAAAGGAAGGCAGTGTGTTTACCTCATGTCATTACTCCTTCCTGAAATTGTGTTTTCTTGTTCAGCACTAATATCCTGCGAGTATATTCTTCTGATTGTTGAATTTGGGTCAGGCCGAGAGTGGGAACTGAAAATAGCGGACATTGCCTAATTAGTTGAACCAACTCGGTGCAGACTCTTGGCTTACTGTTTACTTATTTCGTCATTAAAGCTTGCGCATTTCTGGCTCATATGCAGGTTAAATATAAAGTGGAAATATTTCATGCTTTAAAGCAGTTATTCGAAAGTTGAAATCGCTCATTTCAAGTCCAAGAAATGTATGAGAGCACAACTTTATTTGAGAAAACACAACATCGCCATAAATAAGTGTTGGAGTTTGAATGTCCTGCAGCAACTACCATCATAACATCCACTGAATGACCCTTAATCTGGATTTGTCCTCATTGTACACGCCTGTATAAACCTCAGATCTGCACACAGCTCTTGTCATCCAAAGTGTTTGTGCGTTAGCCTGCGGGGCAAAAGCTTGACCCTCACTATGAAGGATAGATGCTTGACTTACTAAGATGCAGTATCAGTTGGTTAACTCCATCCCATTCAAAAATAGGAAGAGAACTGACACATACAGAGGCCGATGAGAGACGAAAAAGTGGAGGAACAGATGGAGGAGAACTGTTTAGAGAGAGAAAACTCCCATAGAGGAATATATGCGTCCCTTAGCCATTTTTGGAGAGAACCAGAAGTCCACTGTCCTATGAAAAACAAGCTTTTGTGTGATGTATATTTTTAGATGAAGGTTTTTATTTGTGCCTTCATTTATGGCCACAGTGGGCGATTTAAAAGAAAACCAGCCCTGTGATCATGTGTGGTTCAGCAGTTTGATAACACTGATTTCAGCTCTCAGAGGTACTTTCTGGGTTTTGTCTTGGTCTCCGATGGCCTTAAACTGAATGTCTTTGAATTTCAACCTGGAGATGGACAAAACAATCATATGTCCCTTTGGCTTTTAAAAATATTGACCAGTTGTAATCTTGACTTCCTGTTTTTTTTTTTTCAGCACCAGGCACCTCTTTTTTTATCTTGTGTCTAAAAATGAAAGAAATATGATGTATAGATTGTCACATGCTGATGAAGCAATAAGAGGAATAGGTCCTCTGCATAAGTCCAGCTTGTGTTTTGGAATCAGTCCATTGCACATGTGGAGCTTTGAGAAAATGGAGCCCTGTTTTAAATATATTCCTGTCAGCCGAAGACACTGATATGTCTTCACTCTGGAATTGTACTTTTAGCTAATGTCAAGGATCATGAGTTCAAACACCCCTCAGTTTTGTCCCACAAGTTTTATGTGAAGCAGTGGGCGCTCCTTAATGTCTCAGGAGACATTTGAAGCTCAGTGTGAAATCACAGCTCCCAAACAGGACATTAAAACCTCTTCCTCATTGTCCCTCTAACACCTGTTATAAGCCTCTGAGCTTCAACTAAAGTGGGGGTTTATGACCTCTCTCAGGCCCCCCTTTGCTTTAGAAAGGGCCCTTATTAAACACGAGAGGAGAAGTGTTTATCTTTTGACACTGCATGATGTGTGTTAACACCAGTATGATCAGCTCAGGCTCAATAATGCTGGAATATTTACACATAGGCGTCAGGTAAGAGCAGGAAGGAAACAACTTTTCATCTCCTCAAGTAAGAGCTTCTCTTTCAAGGTTTTCACCTCTGCCTGTTAACACCTTTTAGTCGTAAACCTACTCTCTGCTTTTGAGAGGGAAGTTTTCTTCTTGTTTCTCTTTTGCTGTTTTCAATACTTGTGCACGTCAAGCCTCTATGCTCATATTCCACTTCAGGTGTACCGCCAGGACTGCGAAACGTTCGGCATGGTGGTAAAGATGCTGGTGGCTAAAGACCCCAATCTGGAGAAGCAGCTGCAGGTCCCCCTCAGGGAGAACCTCGGGGAGATCCGGGAGCGTTGCTTGGAAGATCTCAAACACTTCATCACCGAGCTGGACGAGGCCGTTCGGCAGCCAGAACCTTCTGTCTGTGACTCAACAACCCCATCGGCATCCCTAACAGGTCATAAACTTTCAAAGACAGGAGTCAATCACAGCTCGGCTTACTGACACTGATCAATGCTATGCAGGACTGAGCATTAGGGGATTGACTGCCAAACCCAACGGATACTTTGGCTGCCTTTCAGATTGCTGGACTCAATTAATTGACATCACCGCAAACTGGACGCAGTTTTGTTTCTAGGGATGAACAGTATTAGACCCAATAGACCATTTTCACCGTCAGGTCTCTGTGGAAATTCAATGAACACAACCTATTCTTTAAGGTGTTTTTGTTTTTTTCCAAGAAATAATCTTTATTTAAAAGATATCCTTCTCAAAACACAGACAGAAAGGTTCACATGTTTGTCATTATTTAACACATTTTGGTGAGAGTATATTGCTGAGAGAGGTGAGTCTGCCCCTCCAGCGTAATCACTTTTTCAAAGGAAAAGTCAGATCCACATTTATGTTTTGTTCTGTTTTCAGATTTGTATGTTTTACTTTTGAATTACCAAATATCTGACTTGGTGCTACAGAATTAACAGTTTTACATCTTTGTGTAAATGTGTACCGTTGTAAAAAGGCCAGTTCGGTTACTTTTCATAAGTCATCTTGTTTTGCTTTTCAAACTTTATAAATGCACCCTTGCGCAAAACTGCACAAGGATTGTGTTTTGATGATACTGAGACTGAGCTTTGCACAGACTGGGATGTCTCTGAAGGTTGTAGAAAATATGTTTTTTTGTTATGTTCAGGTTTGTTATACTGTGATCTATTAAAAAGAAGTTACATGCATATCACCTTGCCATCATTGACCTTATCTCTGTTAGTCCATAATCAGTTTACTGGCATTGTTTAATTCCAGTCAGTATTTAAAAACATTTTGTTGCAGTTTCTCACCACAGCACAGACTCAAAACTGTTTAACAATTTCCAGAACAATTTAAAAAAGTGAGCCTTTTTAAGATGCCCACATCTGCTGTTATCAAGCTCAGAAGTTTAAAAACCTAGGTTTAAATAAATCTTACAGTGTGAGCTATATATAAGGGTTATATAAAGTCAGAATATCATATATGGCGATAACTTGAGAAAAGACTATCACCAGCTTTGAGGGGAAAAAAATATTTATTACAAGCATCTTTACATCGCAAAGCGTTCAGCGGGTTATGTCAGAGCAAGGGTAGTGAGCAAATGAGCAAAACAGAAGCATGTAGGTGTTACTGCCATTTGTTTTGCATTTTCTACGCAAGTGAGCATTTTGGAATACATGGTATGTTATAGTCAACATTGTTACCTAGTAACATGGCACTTAGCTGCGAACGACACCATTAACGAAGTGGCACCTTCTGTGTTGTTCCTCATGAAATATTTTGGAGGTCTTTTTGGTTACCATAACAGCTGATTTTATACACTTCAAAAACAATTCTTTAAACCACAGATATAAAAATACCAGTATTAAAATCTTAACTTAGTATGTACAGTATCATTTTTGCACTATAATGCATTAAATAATTATTTGGTTCTTTTCTACATTATCAAGCTCTGTATACATTGTGTTGCCATTTCTAGCTTACAAAGATATTGCCACAATATTTTTTTGTTTTTACAGAAAATGTCTTTTTATTTAATATAGGCTTAATGGAAAAAACTCAAATTAATGAACATTAAATGAACACTTTCTAACTTGGGGCCTAATTTTAAATGAAATTTTTCCAAATTCACTGGTCCACACATAACAGTGCTAAATTCAGTAACGCTTAGTATTTAGCTATAATTTCCACATACACACAGATCAGAAATAGACAGTCTTTCAGTTTCTTTTCTGACAGTTTGTATTGATCTGTTCTCCAGTAGATTTGGGTCAGAAGTATGATATGCATCTTGACATTCAGCAATGGACCTCCACTTTGTCTGCAACACACCCATTGTGTGCACATGGGTTGTTTAAAACATCATTTTTAAGCTGAGATATATCTGTGAAAAACCACTCAGAGAAACTCTAACTCTTGCTTGACTTAGTGTTCTGAGCTGTTACGAAATGATACAGTTCTTGGAGCGATGGCCCTTCCTGCGACCAGTCTGTGAGCCATGAAACTGGGAAGAGAGGGCTGTAACCCTGGTTGGGTAGTCCTCAGCATAGTAGCGCCCAACTGCTCGAGGTTGAGGGATTGGCTGGCCCAGAAAATAACCCTCCTCTTCAGAGTCTGATGATGAAGAAGAGCAAGTAGAGCAACAGTCATCCTCATCTCTGCAAAGACCCATGAAATGTTCAACACGTGGGTCTCCTTGGGCCAAACCCTGAGGCATAAAGTCAGACCTAGACTGGGAGTAGACCATAGGCAGCCTGTGTGCTGGATGTTGAAGGAGCACTGGACTACAGAGAGGGTTTACCCGACCCTGCTGCTGGTGCTCATAAGGTCTCTGGACTTTCTCCAAAGGCACCATATGAAGGTTGTTGTCCGATCGCGTCTTGCGCCCCCTGTGGTGCCGGCCTTGGCCGTGATGGTGGTGGTGATGTCTGCTTCGTCCATGGTGGTTTGAAGGGTGTCCTCCTTGGCCCATTTCATCTGGAAGATAAACCCTCCTCTGTGGCTTTTCACTCATGGGATGCCTTCTGATATTGACATCAAACCCATCATTGTATCCATTGTCCACAGTATCCTCTGAGAACTTGACCATTTGGGGAGGCCTTGACTGAGACTTGCTCCTTCTGAGTGCTGGCGCATGAACAAAGGAAGCAGGGAGGCCTTCGGATTGTGGGGAAATAAGTCCTCCTGGTGTGCCTCCTCTCATTGCCAGTGCTACCTCCTCGTCTCCTTTCTCCATGTTGAGATTCAAAGAGTTGGCACTGTGGTGTAGATGAGATGAGTTGAATGTTCCCATGTTGCTCATCTTCTCGCAGTCATCTACACCTGTGGGTTCCTGCACAGAAAGTGTGTAGATAATCGGTCTTTCCCTGCTGTCTCCATCCACTGATGCGCCTAAAAAGAAAATACAAGAAAAAAAATTACACAACCACTTCATTAAAAATGGAAAGATGTTTTACACTAAGTGAGACAAATGGTCTTCCTACCAGTTATGTTTGAGAGTGCCAGGGAGTCCATGGAGTCTCCACCACCTTGCCCAACCTTTCTGAGCTCATCAGCTATACACTCCAGAGAGTCATCATACCACTGCCTATTGTGTGTCCAGAAGGCTTGTCCTCCTGCCCCAGGCTGGTCCTGATCCTGGTCTAACTCCAACTCTTGAATCTTTCTTGCACTGGCAGGACCTGGATGACTCCCATAAGCTGAGTCTCCCATCCCATCCTGAGATTGTGCCCAGTACATTTCGGGCAGGTTCTTCTTGCTCATCAGTCCAGGGCTAAGGCTGTTGGCTCGAGATTGACCAGAAGTCTGACTCTGGGTAGGACTTGCAGGGGTAGGGGAAGAGGCGGTTACCCTCATGGATGTAGCATCAGGCTTAAGCCAAGGGTCAGAGACACTCATTAACCTGTTTCTGTCAATGCTAGGGCTAGGAGATTTAAGAGATGGCTGCTGAAATTGGTGTAACATCCCGCGGTCACCAAACTTGAGCAGGAGCTGGGTCATGTAGTCATCATGCTGGGCCCACTCTTCTGGATCCTCCTCTCCACCAGCATCCTGCTCCTCCCGATCCCTCCAGAACCTCTCCTCCTCCAGGCCTAAATGGGCCAGCTTTCGCCCTACAATTCCAATATCACCCTCCACCCTATGTCCATCACCCTCTCCATCTCTGAACTTATACCCAAGGGAGGGAATAGTAGGAGGGGGGTTGAGCACCTGCGATTGTCTCCATTGTTCAGAGGGTCTACTACTCTTCCCCATGCGAACACTACGCCTGGATTCACGTGAACGGGCAGACTGGAAGGCGGAATCAGAGGAGTCTGATGCATGGATGTCTTCCCCCTGGCTACAGGCCTTGGAGCAATAGATGCGACCCTGCCTTGGTAGGAAAGGACAACCCAGCAATGATGTCTTGCACTGGGCACAACAGAAGCACTGGTCTGTGGCGTGCCAGTGTACACCTTCGTAGGTCATCTGGGCATGGTCGACACCTAGAGTGGAGGGGACAAAGAAGAAAGTAGCATAGTATTAGGCAAAGTTTTACAAGTAGTCAAAGAAAGACAACAGAAAGATCAAAAATCTGACCTAGGTCTAGTTGGTCTAGAAATTGTTTTTTATCAGTCTTGGGGGATTGGAGTAAAGAGCCAAACATGCAAAGTTAAAAACTTTCAGCACTTAACTACAAGAACTCACCTATGTTTTCACCACAGGCCTCACAGTACTCTGCATACAGTGACTCAAAGCAGCCACAGCAGTATGGCTTTCCATCTTTCATGATGTAGCGCTGCCCACCAAGCATTGTCTCACACTCAAAACAGGCAAAGTGCTTCATGTGCCAGTGACGACCTTCTGCTTCGGTGCACTCATCCGAAAAGATGATCTGGTAGGAAACATGCATATAAACCACTGTAACTTTTGTGGAACTCAGTTGACTTGATGCTGACTTTGCCACGGCTACTACTAATGTGTCTTACCTCATCACATGAAGAGCATCGAGGTTTGAGGAGCTCAGCATGGTGTCTCCCACAGAGGATCTTTCCATTGTGGTAGAAGTAGATTAGATCCACCAAAAGCTCTTGACACGTGGCACACACAAAGCAAGCAGGGTGCCAGCAGGGGCTCGACCCTGCTCTGGAGGCAAATATTGCCATCTCCCCTCCATTGATTCCTCCGACACACTGTTAATTAAACAAAACAACCGGTGATTTATGAGATTTCTATTTCAGGCCTCTTGTCAGGTCAGTGCTTGTAATATATAATGAGGGAATCTGGTAGTAGGTATGCCATCATGAGAATTAAACCTTAGAGATTAACACAAAGACAAACACGGATAAGTGATTGACATTTTAAAGTGGATTCACAATACAGTCAATATCTATGACACATGAGGAATGCAGCCTAAGCAAATGACTGATTATGGAGTGAACTATTCAAAACATATCACATATCTGCCCAAGTATCATTTGCAGTGATGCCAAGACAAAGCACGCCAAACAACAGGTGACCATGCTGCAAGTGCCAAAGAAAAATGATCCATCTAAAAACATCCTACAGTGATGCCAGTCATAGCAGAAATTCAGTACAGCTACATGACATGGACCATACATGTTAATCTTAGCTATGTTACTGAAACTTCGATCACAGTCAATATTGGCAGACAATCAGAACTTGTTGCAAAATGTCATATGTCTTATGAAACTTAGGGGAGAAAACTTTGTGTATGGGGGGCAAAATCACTTAGGACTAAGAAAATGCTAACTCAAACTGAGTGATCTGTGTTTAAGTTCATTTTGTCTTTAAGCTTTAACAGAATGCACTAGCCTTGATCCTGAGTCAAAAGACCATGACTCCACAGAGATTGTCAGAGTATGTCTCGGTAAGCAATCAAAAGTCTTTATATAACCCAGCAGAGCTGTGAGGCACCCGTGAGCAGCTATAGGATACCGTGACCAGCTGTTAACCATTATTATCGGGGTGGAAGGACAGAGGCCTTGAATACTGAGGTGTTGTGTGTCCCTTTTAGCACACTACCAGGAAACCGAAACCTAAAAACCTTTGTGTGTGAGTGTGTTTGTTTGTGCATGGTATGTGTATGTGAGTGCACCCACATTTTCACTGTATATCTTTGTGAACACATGGGCATGTGCAGAATGTGTACAAATGTTTGCACAAGTATCTAAATGCACGTATGTGTATGTGTGCCTGAAAGGATGAGCAATTGGTGGCTATACACAGTAAAAGTATACATGTTTGTAGAGTACTTCTGGATACACATGCATGCTCAGAATGTGTGCGTTCATTCCCGTACTGTGTGACCTTGCATCTCTGTGGTAGCATCTGTGTTTGGGTGTTGATAGACTGTCTTTCCGGGGGTATTAGCTTGGCTTGTCTGCTTTCCTGGGCTGCCAGGCAGAGGTTTATTCAATGGTCAGGGCTCAGTTTGTTTGAAGTCACATAACACTAATATTGATGTTTTCTGCATAGAAAGGAAATGTTTCTGAAATAAGATCAAGGACAGCTGTAACAGTACTTGATACTGTTTAAATTCCGTGGCAATATCATAAACAGGAATTAGAGGTGAAGATTAAAGACTGATACGAGCATTTTTCAAACACAAGGTCAAAATGCATCCAAAAAGATGCAGTTCCCCAGAAAGAAGTTTGCATCACTAACAACTTCTTCCTTCTTTTGAGAGCACATGCTTACAGAAAGATGTGTGTTTATTTGTCCCAACCTAGTGTACAATCCAGTGACGAATTATGTGGCACATGTGGATATGTCTGTCTTCAAATTCATCAACTTTCCTCAAGTTTTCAAAGAGAGATGAAGAAAGTTGCCATCCCTTCTCACGTCAAAGCCCACTATCCAGCTGCATGCACTGAGCTTAGCTGTGTCTAATTATACCATTTGATGTGGAATAGTGCACCACATACTGGGACTTGTTTGGAAAAAGTTGGCTTTTAGGACTCTTGGAGAGAATTCCTCGTTAACCTGTGCAGTTTTTTGCTCTCTGTCATGCTGAGACGTAAATGGGTGGCAGGAAATTTGCTGCATTCCTTACAAGGAACTGGCTGCTCCGCTTGGCTTGAGCATGAGCCTTCCAATTTCCCAACTTCCCCTCTCGCCCTAATGAGGGGGTTTGTGTGCCCATGATTAAAACCATTGCATTAGCCAATCAGGATTTAGCCTGGAGCAGCTCCGCATTGGGATGGCATGGTGGGTGTTAGCCGCTGGTGGTATAAATAACTAAAGACTCACAAGTTGTTTTCTTTGTAACTGATAGCTTACCTTTATGGGCACTAAATGACTGTGTGCATATGCATGCAAGTGTGTGCTCAAGGGTATCCACATGGGGGACCTACATTTTCACAACGTGTGTGCTGCAGAGCTCGGGGCAGGATCTTGGGTGTTCCTCGCCCAAGTGCCTCTCTCTTCCTCTGGGCACTGAACATGTGGAGCTCCCTTTTCTCCTCCTCAGTGAGAGAGTGGCAGTAACGTAACTGGTTGATAAAAGAAAGAGAAAGAGAAGAGAGATTTTAGTTGATAAACTAAAATGACAGAAAAAGTCACCTTTTTATATCCCACTGATACCAAAAGAGGGTGGAAAAACCTCAAATTATTGCTGATAATGGTCTAATTCTTTCCCCTCTCCATTCCATTTTCTCTTCCTAGACTTGGGGAGAATATTCATCCCTAATTTCAGCTTAAACATACTATTAGTACTGAACTGGTGCTCATATTGGTATTGGAACAACTACCTGGTCTGTAAAAGAGACCTATCATGCTGAGCTGTGTTCAGTACGTCTTTGGAAAATTGCTCATAACTGTTATTTAAGTTGTGAAGGACAGTCACAAATATTTTCTTCTCAAAAAGTTAAACGTTTTTATTGTTTTGGGGACAAAACAGCACCGGGGACAACAGTCACTATATAGCTGTTCATGCTTGCCACTTCACTGATGACTCCTTTGCGAACAAAAGCTGGATTTACGTCTTAAGAAGACCCTAAGCGGGAGCTAACATCTAGCCTTAGACATTTTCTGCAATGGCAGGCCCTATTGTGACTTCGAACTGTGTAATAAGTAGCACCGACAAGCTGTGTCTAACTTTATACCAATTAAAAAGCAGCTAAAGGAAGTGTTTGAGGCAGAGGCAGAGAAGTGCTGAAATGAGGATTTTCATAAATGCCAGTATTAGATAAATGAGTTAGTCTGCTCTATAGGTGTGCCTTATTGATCAAATAAAGGCTTAAAAGAGTGTAATAGGTTCACTGTACAATGGACTTCATGGCTAGAAAAGGTTCTGAATGACCATGATACATTGGGTTAGGGCTAGGATCAGCATACTAGCTGATATACTTATCCTAACACTGTAATTTGGGAAATATCAGAGGCTGACACCAATATAATATCAGTACAGGTGTTGGCATCAGTATCAGAACCATAGGAACATCAATACAGGAACAAATAACCATTTAGGGAAAGTGTAGGCCCTCAGGTCCAAACACGGTTGGAAACATGTTTAAATAAAGTTAATTCCTGCAGAGTCTGATGGGAGGATAGCGTGAGCAACTCATAAACCATTCCTATGTTTAGAGTCAGTGATGAAACCCCAGATAAAAGACCAAAACCATCCCAACATCCTGGTTGGTTGTTCTCTAAACAACGGTAAACTATGACAGTTTGAGCTCACATCTGCCTCAACATCACACACACATCACTTCTCCCTCTTAGACCACAGTTTGCTTCCTCAACCACCAGGTTTTGCTGACAAACATCATAAAACCACTCAGTCAAATATTGTGTAGCTGTGAGTCCCTATTGTGTATCTTTGGTGTGTGTACAGAGACCACCACTGTCAGACAGTAGCCCCTCCCATCCGTCCCCTCTGGTGATAACCCCTCCACCATATCTCCAAATGTAAACTCTATTAACATAGATGTGAAAGGAGTGCTGGTTTACACACCATAAAACTATTCTACAGAAGAAGCCGGCAGGTTTTAACTGTTACAAGAGAGGGTTTTTGTCAAACAGTCGCAGGAATGCGGCCATTGTTGTAGTTTTACAGGAGAGGCAATTTGTCCGGGCTTTACTCAGCTGCTGACTTTAGTTAAATTAGGCCTGAGACATGAGACAGACATAGAAAATAACTGTACAGTCAGTTTCATCAGCGCTGCAGGTTGTTTCTTTCCTTCTCTAACACGCCAACCGTCTCTCTGCTATGATTTATACCTCATTGTCATGCGGCGGCAGCTGGTAGAGGAGCTGTCTGATCCTGTGCTTCTCTCCAGGGCTGTTCACGTATGGCACCTTATCCTCAGGCAGACAGGAGAAATACATCTGCACCTGTGGAAACAGACAGATGTGTGACCTTTAGGAGGGGCAGTGAAAAGGACACGGCGGGAAAGAGCCTTCCTATTTTCCCTCAGATCAGGCAGAGAGGAGGACAGCTGGATATCACTGCTGCTTCATGTGTATTTATTCTGCAACACTGCGGGCCGAATATGTCAGTCTCAGTCTAGTTGCAGGCACCTGAGTGTGAAATCTCTCCATATGTTAGAGACAGTCGGGTAATGGAAATTTTAGTTGGAGGCAAAAACCCATTAGGAAGTTCGTATTCATCCAGGAAGAAACTATATATGAAACTTGGAACACTTCAGAGATTTGCAGAGCAGGTGTCTCTTAAAAGCAGGAAAATATGTGATATAAAAATCCATGGCCAGATGTTAGGCATCAGCATGGGGCACTGTTAATCTGTTAGTGTAGCACAGAGAACAGAGTGCACACATGACCCTGTTTGCACTAAAAGCCTGTCCTGTGAGCGTGCAGGTTTAACCGTCAACCCCTGGAGAAAAATATCCAGTTTTGGACACTATGACTACAAAGAGCTTTAAAATGCTTTCTGGAGTTATTTTAGTGCCTTAAATGTCACTTTCTGGAGCATATAGACCTACGATAGATATACTTGAGTCATAAAGTGCAGAGTCATCCTGAGTCTACCTGTGAGACCAAAAAATATTTAGTCATTTTAAAGGAAACAGACTTGAGTCCTACCTGTTCAGGTCTTAAACCGGGTGGCACCCAGGCATACTCCTCCAGTGCACACCCAGAGTCATCATCTGATGTGGAGCTCCTCTGGAAGCCCACAGATATCTTCCCCATCTTCCCCCCTGCGCGAGGATCCATCTCTAGGCCTCGGGACGAGGGACGATCCCCTCTTTCGCTGCGCTCCAGGTTCATCACAGACTGGCGCTGTGGGAAAAAAAGGAAGATTTAGGACCTTTCATAATCCACCTTTCTTACTTATGGCTTGAAAAGGATCAGAGAGACTGTTACTTAAAAAGGGTGTGAAAACAATATCTCACTCTTGCATGAGAATGTTATTTTCCAGCCATGAAAGCGGTGCATACCTCGTCTGATGATTCATTTCAGAGTTATACTTTAAAAAAATCCCCCAGAAACTACATGTCTACCTTCAAAGGGATCTTAATGCAAACTCGGGGTGATACATGACGGAAAACCATTGCAGGTTTTTCCTTACAGGTCACTATCTAAAAACCAAACATGACTTCAGCCAGCTTTACAATCCACTTCTCATACTGCATAAAAGAAATAGGGCACCCATGAGTGCACCTGCGTAAAAATTAAAGACCTTGTTGAAACACTTTACTGTGTCACTGGGTGAAGAAACATTGTGCATATTTCCTTTTACAGTTCCTTGAGCAGATGACTTTTATGCTCTCAAATTCCAGCTGTTCTCCACCAAACATCTGTTGCTCTTGCGGAGAATGGTATAGGCTCCTAAAGTTGTGAGAAACATGCTCGTAGCCTTAGAGAAAGAAAAGAAATAAAATTCTCGATCTGCTCAATCTGAATACTTCAGCAGTCAGCAGCATTTCTGCACACCTTTCCCACTCTTTACACGCTGATAACAGTAAGACTGTTGAATATATAGGGATTAATCAGTCTTGTCATTGTGTGTCTGCCACCTTGAGCAGTAGCCCTCTTATCTCTGCAGACATGCTGCCCGGAGGCCTTTCAGCCTGATACTGCACTTCAGTCTGAAGGTGATGACACAGCCACTTGCGTTTTGCCCTGCGCTGCTCTGCCTCTTTGACATGCTAATGTCGACCAGTATAGAACTTGTTTGGGTAAAAACAGAAAGTTCACACAGGCCCTCCAAACTACACTTAGGTTTGATCTTTTACACAAAAGCAGCTCTATGAAGGACATTAAGGTCTTGACGGCTTCAATTGACCAGGATTATGCCTGTAGAGCAATTGCGAAAATGCGTTTGGATCGATGTTAACGGCGAGTGATTATCACATTTTTACAGACTGATGATACATACAGTATTCATCATAATTAGATACTTTGCAATAGAGAAGGTTTGGATTTAGTTACTTGTGTTGAGTAATGTGAGGTTACTCTTCTTGATATACCCCTACATTATATCATTATAGGCAACATGAAATTTTATTTATAGCATTGTTAGGTTATGTTGCATTATGTGACCTGGAGACTTTTTAACAGTCCTTCATCAGATAATAAACCACATGACAACACTGGTTATGCTCAAAGCAGTGTTTGCAGCTCCTTAGTCCAAAATACGTAGATAGTAAACAGCACAATGTTCTCATGTTTGCTTTCAAAATGAGTGATTATGTCTTATACTTAAAATTCAATTACTAATGAAGGCCCCCTCTACAGGTCAGTGGTTATTGCAGCTAAAATCACAATTCAAAGCCCCTTGATTCAGACCATGTACTGTTCCCCAATTACATGAAAAATTTAGCATTCCCATGATTAGCATACAGTTGAATGAAGCCTGGAGCCTCAAAACACTGAATTTACAGATAAGAAATGCTGTTAAAAGCTCTTATCACATAACAAAGGGGTATGTAAGTGTTGCTTTGTTCTTTAGTGACTAATCTATCAGGTTTTATGGTAGCATAGATAGGGCTATCTTTTAGAAGCTTTTCCTCACATATTTCATTTTGTCTTATGTGACCTGGTTCGGACCAGAAAATAGTGAAATTTGGTGGGCTTGCAGTTACAGAACGGAAGGAAACCTTGTGTTTTTTTCTGAAACACAAGTAAGTTTGGACAAGAACCCACAAAAGTATTTGGTTTACTGCCATAAATACCAAAAGAAATCAGTGAAATCTGCTTTCAGAGGGTGGGAAACTAGTGAAGCCTGGTGCTAAAATGCTAAAAAAAAAATGAGTTGAGAGTCAGGAAAGCACAAAGGTAACCTTTTATGTATCCATCATTTTAAATCTACGCTCTGGTAATTATTCATTCGCTATTCTAATGACTTTTTTTCTCCAACGAATTCTCTGCATCTCATCCAGGAGAAAGGTGACTGTGGATTCCTGAGCCAATGTACACATCAACTCACATTACACCATGTCACCCACTGGCAACAACACAATGGCCGTCTTTGTCAAAAACAAAAACAAAATGTCCAACCATTCCTACCTAAAGTCAGACAGCGGTGGAGACGTGACGGGGGAGGTTAGAGGGGTCAAAAAGGAAACTTTTTAAAAAGGCAGTTAAGGAGTCACAACATTGGGTCTGTGTAAACACAGGCCCAGTATAGCAGCTAACAGTTAATTATGTGTGCCTCCTTGACTTAAACAGACACTTTCAAAGAAACCCGCCTCAACTGAGTCAGTTAAACACTTGATTTTTGAATGAATACAACTCAGGGAAACTGAAGGAGAATTTTTTTCTATAGTTTCCAAAAAATGCAGCTAATTTTTCTAAACATCATTACACATGCTCATGAAAAACCATTAAATCGCAAAGTTCAGGCACCGAGGTCAACTTTCTTTGACTACCTAAGAGTGTTTTTTTAATGCAAAATGGGTCTAAGAGTTTGCACAGGAGACCTAACACAGCTAGAGTGAGACCACCTGCATGGACACACATAAACATATTATATGCAGACACAAAATCTACACATGCATTTATCAAAATAGGGCAACACAGATACAAAGCACTTAATCTTGAGCTTTTAATTCAACACTTCATGACCAAAAAAAATAAAAAATCCACGAAAATCCTCTGCATGCAAATTTAAGAAATTAAGTCACCTATTTTGCTCTTACCTCCAGGAAAAGCATCTCTAGGTCCGCTCTCAAATAAAGCTTTCATTCACATCAGCAAAGTCCAGGGCACACAGCTCTCAAGTTTTTGGCAACATGCTTGCAGCATCAAACTGAGCCGATCCAAGTCTTAATCAGATCAAGATCCCATTCATCCAGGAAGTATTCCCCTAGCGTCTCAGTCTTTTGAATATAAACAAGAGAGAAGTCTGACAATGACGCCAACAATCTGTAAACAGGGTGGAACCCTTTTCCAGATCTAAAACCTCCGGGTCCAAAGAGCAGAGAGGAGAGGAGGGCAGAGAGGTGACGTCTCTATCTGGAGTGTCTCTGATCCCAGTGAGTGTGTGGGATTGAGTGGCTGTTTGCATGTGTGGTGTGTGAGTGTGTGTGAGTGAGCTCATGGGGCAGCCAAGCCATGTCAGCCCCTCCCTCATTCCTCCCCTCCAGAGCAAATTGCCCTCCACTGCACTCCAATCACACACACACACACACACACACACACACACACAGGACCTATCTTTACACCCCTCCAACCCCACCATAAGAGAGCACATGTCCACTCTCTGCTCACACAGTCTCTTATTCACTCCTTAAAAATGAGGATGAATAAATAAAAATCTCAAAGTCGATCTCAAATTTAGATTCTTACAGTAACTGGTTTTGAAGATATCGGGTATTTGTATCTGTAGCCAGGAGGCTAAAAAACTCCACCTCCATGCCTCTAGCTTGATTGACAAACAGTTAGGTTGAGTGCGTGTTTCCATTACAGTGACTGCCTATATTGGGCTTCAAACCTTTGCCTCACAAACCAGTGGCTGATGTCACTGAGTCTATGTCCATGTTTTACAAGGTCTCCAAATTCAGCTTGGTTTGTGGTTTCCTCCAACTCCTAAGAAATGCCCTTAAGGCCCATAAGTAGGCAGAAAAAATGAAATGGTTAAAAAGGTTGAATAAGCGAGCCAGGCCATGAGGTGAAAAAGTGAAGGACATCTATGTGTGTACTGAGCTTCTTTGACAATTGTAACACTCATCTTTAAACAGTGTAGAGGGTGGTGCATTTAAAACTATTTCCATGTCAACATGGACCGAACCAAGTACTGAGCAGAAGTAGCCAACCAACTTGGCACAAGCACAATACATATAACCAACAACTGCCATGCACAAGTCGATATAATGACGGTCTATATTTGATGAGCACAGGACAGCGGACAAGCACATTAACTTAGTTTTCATTCAGGTTGTTCATCATTTCTTTTTCTAAAATCAATTGCCTTGCAGTTTTGAAATCTAGATGTTGACTCAAATCCCTCAAACTCCCTAAAAGTTCTCATGCTGAGGATATCTGTCACCAATACTACCGCTGCCCCCTTCCTATTTTGGAGATCTGAATGAGCGAGAGGAGAGGGGTCCCCTGTCCTCATCTCTCACTTCAGCCAATCACAATGGAGTTATTGTCATTGAGCACTTCAACGCAGGAAACTCCTGACAAGTCTGCTCAAAAGAAGTGATGAGTTTTTATTTCCAGTCTCAACCTCCAACTTGAGGAAAGGTTTATGCTCCTCGATATGCTTGGTGAAAGTCTGATGTAGTTAATGCAGACGAGCTTTCAACCATCTGTCACTGTGAGCGGCTGAAAAGTAGCAACGGCTTACATAAAGAACCTAAAATGATAAATGAGTTTACTCAATTGTCCAGCAGACAAAGACACCTTCGCCCCTGACAACCCCACATTGTGACGCGTAGAAAAGGCAGCTAAGCTGTTTGTCACATACTAAGATACCTGCTGCAAATGAGAAATGACGAGTTTAGAAAAGCAAGAAACACTAAAAAATCCTCGATGTGCAGAGATTGGGTTATTTCCCAATTCTTTCTTTCTTTCCCAGCACGCTGCCAGATATTTGAATGCAACTGAAAGGAGCTTGGCAGTTCAGTCATAAAGTTAACCTTTCTGATTAATTCTACAAACCATCCAAAAGATCTGCATTCAGTTTCCTGAGATATTTATCTGGATATGTCTTTCCAAAAGCTCTGGAACAGACGAACGCTCGATGAGATGATAGAAAAAGACATTGTGTGGGCGAGGAATTCTGTGGCGTGAATAGAGGACAGGTCAGAGGATGAGTGGCTTTATCCCAGACAATAGGCAGATATGGGCCCTTCAGACTTGGCCTGGGCTTGTGGCCAAAGAGCCATGGTTCTTTGGAGAAACACAAGAGGACAGTCGACCTTGCTGTCTCTTTTGCTTCCTCTCTGACGGGAGCAGAGAGAGCAGGGGTTGAGAAAACAAATCAAGTTCTCCAAATGGAGCCATCTAGCTGCTGGTGAAAGTGTCAGATTGTCTTATTTCTATAAAATAAAAAGACTTCTATGACTCACTTCCAATATATAGCAAGATTTTCACCGATCTATGTCGCTGGGTGGTGAAGATGTCATGCTATTGGACTTGTCCTGAAAGACTGATACCCTGGCTGATCCCATTCATATGTCTAAAGCTGTTGAGCTAGAACTAACAAATGGGGGGTTTATGCAGTGACCTTTGACCCCAGCTAGTGCAAAACACAAATATGCACACTGGGTGCACATGCGTGATAAAGTTTGTCCAGTTTGTATATCCTTTATGTTGGAAACTGCACATGCCGGTTCAAATATGACACATCGGCTTTTTGAGTTGAATAAACTGACCATATAAAATTAGAGAATAAAACATTATACCTTTAAAGGAAAATAAGGAAACTATTTGCTGATACTCCATTTGATAAAAGGGCATTGCTGGCTAAAAATATGGGTCTGATTTTAGATCAAGGCAAGTCAAAAATGCTTTTGAATGAAACCTTTTGATCAACATTTTTTCCTTGGCAAAATTCTTGGATTGGTGTTCAGACAAGATCTGGCGGCCCTTTCCTAACTCCAAATCCAAGCCCAAGTTTGGACTTCACACTGGCTGCACACACACAAACACACACACACTTACACTTACACATACCGGGCACACTTACTCACCCCTCTGGCGGCACATTTCATTTATCTACTGGAACACAACTCAACCGTTGATTTGGCCTTTTCTTAACCTTTATTGCGCTCAGCAGACTCGCTGTTCTCGCCTCAACAGTGTGTCGCTTCATTTTCATTTATAATGGTCATTCACACCTGGAGTCTACTACAAGCACTGTTTCATCCCCAGGAGGCACGAGGGGGTTTAACTGATTCCTTCAAATGCAAATATCAGGTGAGACGTCCCTCAACGAGGACAGTGACATGTCTGAACTTGTTGCAGGACAGTTTGTGATTGAGAGCCAGATTCAAACAAAGCATGATGTAAAAGTTGCTTAAAGTGTGAATAAAAAAAATGCAGACAAGGAGAGAACCAAAATAAGAGTTAAAATGAGGTCTTGTTGGTAGTTGTAGGCCAAGATATTTGAATAAATGACACAGTAAGTGAGGGTGTTGTCACCTGATGGTTACATTTCCCATTTGGTTAGGTAGGTCAACACAAAGGTCTGTTAAAAAATAAATATGGTCACCCCAAACCTCACAAGTCAGAGCTAAAGAGTCACCACTGGGGCATTCAACATTTTGAAGATGATGTCTTGTGAAAACTGACCCCTGTGACTTCATGTGTCTTTGAGCCTTATTATTTTCTATTTGGCCAAGCATCACAAAGGCTATTTTTTTCTTTTCCATTTTATGAACTGTGCACAAAAACCCAAAGTGAAAAACTTAAAAGAAATGTTATTACCCCTTACTTTAAAAATATGTCCTTTACAAAAACACCTACAGATCCATGTCTGAACGCATCCATCATGACTTCCTATTCAGACCCACAGACACCTTTCAGCAGCCTTTCATTACAGGAAATGGATCTTTAACCCTTGCTAACAAGGCCCACCAGCTCGACCTGCTGCTGCGTGTCAGGTCTGTGGAAGTGTTCCTTAGTGATCTTACCAGTTCAGTGTTAATATTCCCTGACACTTCTAAGCAGAGTGTGATTCAAGTTTCGGGTAATAAAACCCTCTGGTGAGATCTCGAACCACCGCAGGGTGTTACCTGCACACCTCTGGGACAATGGGAGCAGCAATAAAAGTGCTGTAAAATCCAGGAAATTGTCACCTAGGTGGGGATTTGGCTGGGAAGCTCCAGTTTCAGAACTCTACTTGTACTGTTTTTAAGTACAATGCAGAGAGGGCAGTCCATTTTTCTAGTCAGGCTTTGATGGAGGATTATTAGTGAGTCTGTCAATGAGCAGCGGTCTAATTATCTGTAATAAAATGGATAACATATTCACTTAGCATGCGTGACAAACTTTTAGCCTCCTTAAATCTGCTGTGGAGTCAAAGTTTAGCTAACATACGGCTGTTAACTACTATTTTCTGGGTCTTTGAGTGGTTGTTAGTGTTAGCATGGGCGTGGTCTCCCTCCTCTGGCTTCCAGCCACCTTCTACACTCCTGCATGTAATCATCTCATCAACACTCCTGCTCACCTGATTCCCATTAGCTCATCCTTCAAGCTTGGGTATATGTACCGTGACTTTTTAGTCACTCTTGTTGCTTCATCGCAGTGAAAAGTATGCTTGATGGCCAGCCTTAGCTTTTATGTTTATTATTTTCAATCGCAGGTCCACTCGATGGCCACTCTGCAAAATCAGTTGGGAATTTCCCACTTGTCAAGCTCTGTTTATCTTCCCTGAAATCTTCAATACTCAGCTCCCACAGCCACTGCTGCACAACCCTAACCTGCAGTTTAAGTTCCCCCATTTGGAAACACATGCACAACTGCTTTTACCTTCACTTTAATTACCTCATCAAGCCACCAGCAAGGCATCACTTAATGGCTGCACTTGATGGCTGGGTTTAAAGTCTCACACTCTCAGACTCAGGCTTGTTTTTTTGAGTATTTTTCTTGAGAACCCGTCACACATCTACCAAGAAAAGGTCAACCATTCTTGAGAGAGTTTACCAAAACTCTGTTGGCATGTTGCATCAACTCTGTATGAGCTGTTTCATATGTGAGGCTGTTAAGTCCACACTAAACCATACAATGTACCAAGTTAGGTCGTAACTTAGGTTGTGCTATTGTTTGGTTGCACCATGGAAGTGTGAGTTTCTTTTAACTCGTAGACCATCATGTCCAAACTAACAAAATATTGTTGCAAGAATGAATTTGTTGATGACGATACTTTCTTAGTTGGAAATGCCATGCACTGCCTCTTCACAGGCTAACATTCAAGCTAAGTTATGTTTAAACTCATGCACACACCTGCTTTCCCAACCTAATTTAAGCGTCCATCTTTAAGCAAAAGTTCTCTTGTGGGTGATCTCTTGGATCAGACAAGAAACCTCTGCACACGGTCCTTGTACCTGCAACCAGTGTTTGTGAATTCCCGCAAGATCAATGATGCTATCAACTATCAACTGGAGCCAGCTTCAGTTTTCAACCCTGAAGCAAACATCCAACAGATGCTATTAAATGCTCTATTCATCCCTTTTGGAAATACTAGGCGTCTCATTTTGAATAAAACATTGCCAAACAAAAATAATTGCCCTCTCAATGCAGCTACTGTTCGGCCTTTCAAGTGAATCTGTCAATCTTTATTGAGCCCCTGGTTCTGCATGTATCCCTGCATATGTGGCCAATTACTCTGACATTCAAGTGGATTTCCTGTAAATCCCTCTGCTTCTTACTGACTGATTTTAGAACATAGAGGAATTATACTGTTGCTACATAAGTTGGTAAAAAAAAAAAAGGCAGAGGCTTCCTAAGTACATGTCTGGAGAAAGATATTTATTATCATTATTTGTAATGATTTGGCAGGCTGTAACTCACTTACACTGCTGAATGCAAGTCATTACCTGAATGGGACTGAGCCTTGGGTTGTCCCTTTAGGCTAAAATGTCTTGCCAAGATAAAGTAAGTAACAATCCGTTTTTTAAGGTTAATATATCCACTGTGGAAAAACAACAGATGTTTGATGATGAAATATGTGACGCTCATTTTAAATTAAAGTCAACTGAAGTGAAAGGACGGGTTAGGGTTAGGTGATTCAAGAAGATATGCAAAGAGACACATTTGTACAGCATAGTGACAGACTAGCATTATGGCTTTGATTGTTTAGTGATAAAACATCCGACTCACAAACCTTTAACTCGTGACTAAATCATAGTGTTAGTATGTCAAGTCCAGTTTTAGAGCAGTATAAAATGCTGTTTTTAATAGGTGTGTATTTTCTGTCCTGCATTTTGAAAGATGTAAAATGTAAACTGACACCAAATCTACTGAAAAGAGAAACTCAACACAGCTCTTTGTTTCCAAAAAACTGCCTTTGTCAGTCATCCAGCTAAGTGAACTCCAAATATCCACTAATGCCAAAACTTTAAAGTCTTGTGTCATTGTTAACCTCAGATGTTTTTTTTTTGTTCTTAGAACGATGAAGGGACCTTTCAGCACTGGCAGATGATATCAGGATGGTGTAGAGCAGCTTTAACAGCTTGAGCACCTCTGCCAATAGAGTTTTTTGTCCCAGAGTTTGCAATCATTGGCACTGGAACTGATTGAAACTGAGGCTGTCTTCATAGATGTTTGGATTACATCTCAGTCTGTGTGTGTGTAAACTGTCAAGGTCAAAATCTGCCTAAAAGAGCGCCAGAAGGTGGGGTTACACGTCCAACTGTAATCAGAGTAAAAGTCGGTGTGTTTGCATGCACAGTTGATTCAAACTACAGTTATAGCTCATTTAGGGGATTTGACTTGACTACTGTTCCTGTCACAGTTTATCAAGACAGAAATGTAAGCCTCCTGGTTAATCTATACCAAAATAACCAACAAATCCATTGGCAAGTGGGTAACAGGATGTACATCAAACATAAAATCACTGATACAACAATTTTGTCTTTTTTACATCCCTGTCATCTGGCGAGGTTTTGTTGAGTTCCCTAACGGTGCATTTATGCAATTCAACTTTAGCTCAAAGCTTGGCGTGCAAACACCAGAGCTTACACAGAACACATGGGCCAGTTTTAGACCAATTGAGCTGTGTGCTCCGAAGTGAAAAGCAATCGCTAACCTTATTGTTTATTGGAAATAAGTTAATTAGACAAAAAGAGTCTAACTTTGGAGGATGAAAAAGTGACCGAATGCTCCTCTTTCACACCTCTGGGTGGCATTGCTTTTAATATGCTGTTTTCTGGTGCCTCACTTCTCTGTTAGTAATATCCAGATAAGCAAGAAATGCAACGGTAGTTAGACTTTGTGCAGGCAATAATGCTGGTGTTGGGGAAAAAAAGAATTATAAAAGCTGCATGAGAAATAAATGGAAGCTTTGTGATATTTTTTGTTGATGACATGTAATTTCTTTTGCGAAAAAGTGAGACAGACCCTGACAGTTCAATGTAATCAATCTGAAATAAAGGAGTATTCGAATATATCCAATTTCCCCTCCGGATAAATAGGATTCTTCTTGTCTTAGCTCATCTCAAAGAAGTAATTTCACACATTTTTATCACATCAGCAAACTGGAATATGAGAAAGAACCACCTCTAGCAAACTTGTTTTAACTACTGGACACGATGGTGATCTTTTAATACAGTTAGCGTGTGTGAGTGAAAGAGAAGGAAGAAAAAAGTCTTGTGCATCTCATCCAGCTCTAATTTGATATTGTTAAGTGATGCATTCCTTCTTTAATAGGATCCAGAGGTCACTGTAAGCACCGCTATGAAAGGAGTGTGTGTATCCGAGTGTGTGTTTGTGATTTATCTTAATGAAAATGCCAGGCCGCAGCAATAACTCAACCCTCTCATATAAAGTGATTACATTCTACAGAAGAGAAAGACCAGTTTGATATTTACAACTAAAACAAAGTCGAGTGACGGGCCGATGATGAAAAAAGTCGAGAACCAGATTTTCTTGTTTATGTTGACGGGGAATATTTGAATCAGTGCAAGGACAGGGTTCACATTTGGGCCGGTGATGAAAAACTGACATATTCCAGCTCCTCTTTTAAGTTAAAGTCATGAACAAACTGTTATTAGGCTACAGATGAAAAGCCGAGACACAACAATGAAGGATAAGACGGCTCTTGTTCTTGTTGACAGGAAATTAAAAGAGACAAACTCCAGCTGCACATGTCAGGAAGAAGCCCGTCTTTATTTTTTCTGGCCTCCGAAATACTTTAAAGACTCATCATTACGAGCAGTCCCTTTATCAATCCAGGCATCTATCTGAATGATTTACAGTGTGTCTTATACTCCAGCCAAAATAAACACATAAATCTAAACTTTTAATAAGCAGTGCCAATCTAGCTAGATTCAAGAAAAACAAATTTCTTCTCGAAAAAAAAATAAAGACAGATGCGCACGTAAAAACATCTGATGACATATCATGCAAGACGAGCAGCAGGGTTGCATCATGTTTAGAATGGGAATGCCGTGTGTGTGTATGTGTGTGCAAATCCCAAATGAATTTGAGTATAAGAGATAGATGTAGGCCAGGGATTGGGGTTGTGTACACAGAGGCTTAATGACAGGACCCTGGAGGGATGGCACATCAGTCAAGCAGAACAGACAAGCACACACATTAACCGGCTGTCTATTACACAACCCCATCCTCGTTTTCCCATAATTTAGCATTAGGAAGACAACACGAGCTGGAAGTGGCGGGTCTGACCGGGCTAGCAGCTGTGGGGTTTTTCTCACACTTGGCCTACATGGGCCGGCATGGTGTCAGAAAAAGGGTGTGTGTGTGTGTGCGTGATTCCCCCCATTCAGTTGATTCCTGTGACGCCTTTTCGGTTTGACTTTTTATCTAATTTGAAAAATAAAGACAGATTATTTTTCAGCGATAGGTAACAAATCAGCTGAGTGGCATTAGCTCTGCTCAGCGCAGCAACATTAGCATTCTGGTGGTGGGTTTAAATGCCAGGAAGGCGACAGATTTTGAGGCTAAGTGTGATATGAAAGCTGCTTTGAGCTCGGTGCTTAAATAAACTCACTATCACAGGGAAAGTGGCGTGACTCGCCGTTTTTGTGGGGTGTTTGCCCCCCCAGCCCTCTTCTCCCAGGCACCGTAGTTGAATTTGGCCAGGGCAGGAGCTGTTGGCATTCCTCACTGACCCTCGAGTAGCAGGATGAGGTTCATGGGTAAACAGACAACCCGTTTGGTGGGCTTGGTGTGTAGTTTCAGAGCCTGTCTCACCCCCTGACTTTCTGTCTGTCTCTCTTTCTCTCTCTCCTCCAGGCTACACTTCTCGTCTTTCCTCTCAGCCAGCCATATCCTCACTTGGCCTCTCTGTTAATTCAGACCTACCTGACAGTTCTGACTAAAACCTTCTGGGTTTACTATCTGTCCCGCTTGGCGACAGGCTCGGCTCTCTAAACACACATTGAAGACTAATCTGCAACAGATGGGAGACGGGTCCGGGGAGGAAGTAGTATAAAAAAGGATATACAGCATATTTGTACCCCTCTGAAGCAAACGATAGGGTTTCAGCAGAGTTTCAAGCAAAGCCGGAGGAGGCTTGTAATGATGTGCACGGCGGCGGCTCCCAGGGGCTTAACTGGACATATTACTCGAAGATATAAGCTCTCCATCCGCAACCAGATGTCTGAAAGGCCCTGGGGGGGATTCTTGGGGGCTTTTCTCTGAAGGGAACATGCACATACACTCATTCACACACTCTAAAAGCTATATGTAAAGTGTTGAGTAAATAAAAACACATGGAAACTAGAAAACGTGCACCGATACATACATGTGTACACACACAAACAAGCCCACACATGTTGGATTTCATGGGTGGCTGGTTAGAGATAATGAACGCCCGATCCCTCTAGTTTACTGTCTGGTTTTTGAGGTCATTAGTGTAAACACAAGAGACATTTATTACTACCTCATTAATGCAAGTGGCAATTTAAGCCTGCTTTCTCTGGTGGAAACAAGAAACGGATGGATCTCACATATCGCTGAAATCCAGATGACTAGCAAACCACTGTTTTGAATTTGTTTTTTGACTAGCCACTGGAAAGCCCCAAGCTTTCATCAGCTACCAACCACCAGTGAATATCTCTTACATTCTTCCTTGCGCTGAGATAGAGTTGTCCTAGCTGACGGATAAGTTGCTGCTTGATTACTAGCCGCAGAGCTCAAAGGCAGTCGGTGGCATACTAATGTGGGGGGAGGTTACATAAGGAAAAGTGATTCCTCTGAAGGTAAATGAAAGTGCAGGCTTCTCTATGAGGTAGAGAAAACACATCCCAAATAGATTAGTCGCCCAAAAAGTTCCCTCAAACTTGTCGTGACCGATTCATTCGGCCTCTAGGGGGCAGCAGAGAGAAGCTGATAATAGCATGTGGACATGTTTTTACCATAGTCTGTATATAGAATGGACAGCATCTGCCTCCTTGCTGGGTGAAGCCACTCCAAAAACAGCACCCTCTGTTGACGGGCTGCAGTATAGGTCATAAATCCCGCCTCCGCCAGCAAAGCTTATGGGGCTGTGGACAAACTTTACAAATTTATTACACAGAACATAAATTTTTCTCCCCCCTGTTTGCAGTGTTGACATGTAGTCATTGTAAGACTGGTTTGGGCCCAAGTCCTCTTTTTCCTGTGAAGCTCCGTTTTTAAAAGTTATTAGGAGGTTCATGTTTTCTATGATTGACACCTGATACAGCCTATGGGCGTTCAGGGTTTGTGTAGCTCTCTCGGAGGATACGCTGTTTGAGCCGAGCATCATCACGGCGACTCTCGGCAACTGCGCGCCCGAATGCACGCATCTCTACTGCGCTGGTTTCAGGAAATAAAGAAAAATCCTGAAAATACCGAGAGCTTTTTGGCTTCAAATCCGTATACAGGCGATAGGTGGAACCAAGTTGTCCATAGTATATACAGTCTATGGTTTTTACCTTTAATTGCTTTGTGATGCCAGGCAGCTGATGAACTGTGAGCTTTTAAGAGTCAACAAAGAACAAGTAATATAAAGGAAAAATAAGCCAGAATGACACATTTTTGAGCCACAATAAGATAAAAATTGCTAACAAACTTCAAACATAAAGTATTTACTACACTTCTGAACCATTAAGTTTGTATAATTTGTCAGCTTTTTGGTGCTACACATCTAATCTGACGCTATAAGTGAGCAAACACGACAAAAAGGAGGCTATAATATTACATTTTGTAAACTGAAAGACGCTTGAGCATTTTTAATTTTCTCATTTGTAATCATAAGATTTTGATATATAGCTGCTCTAATGGAAAATTAAAAGTAGCACCAATGTTAAGACAAATGTGCAGCTTTTGGCAAACTTTGGCTAAAACTGTGTTTTTTTCCCCACCCTCATTTACAGAGTATTTATCACAACAGTCTATTTCCTGACCCCGGGTGGCATCAGATTGGATGGAGCAATTTCCTCCTGTGGGTAAATTTAAAGGCTGGTATTCCTCTGGGACGGAGCAAGGCAAAAAGGAGATACTGTGACAGATAGAGGCTATCCCCTGAGACTTCTGTGGGCGACCACCCAACAGCTCAAGGTTCACAAAAACATTTACTTCATGTCTTATCTTGAATCTGTCACAAAGCCTCAAACTTCCTCTTAATCTCATCAGCCTCTGTTCATTAAAGCATGCTGACAGTGTTAAGTCAGGGACAAAAAAAACACTTGATTCATGACAATATCCTGAAGCTTCATGGACATCCAATCAAGTGAGCAGATATAAGGAAAAGTCAGGACAAACAGAGGTTTAGACAAGCAAAGGGGGGAATAATTGATGAATTCAGTCTGAGATAGTGTTTGTGTTGGAAAATAACTGGCCCAAATTAAACCAAATGGATGAGGGAAGTCATGTTTCTGCTGCACAAACCTGCGTGCTTATTTTGTATATGCTAAGTTGTAATTTAACACTGTCTGCAACTTGGTCCAAACAATACTGTTCGCATGTCAGTTGAACAGATTTGATGAAACAGGATCATATTTTACTCAAAATCGCCAAAATGTCCTTTTTTTTTCAAAAGCAACTGTTTAATTGTTCTTGGACCCGTTGCAATACATTTCATGCATTATTTGACGGATTTATGTTGGGCGTTCCCACATCTGAACTGAAAACATAAAACCACCCAACATCAAACTGAGAAACATGATCACCCAAATGAAGCGTTTCTCACACAAAGGCAATATTGTATGAATGATGTTGCATGCAACAAACCAGATACTGTTATTGAAACCTTTTATGTTTTTTTCTTATCAAACACAAAACTCAAAGCTATCATTTATATTCATTTGATGGGGAATAATTATGTGGTTGTTGAGCAGGACTCTTGTCTTCATGTATGAATCTGTGCTTCTATACTGTTTACTATAACTTCAGTTTTAAAGCCTTTTAATCAATATCATCTAATAATTATCACCTTAAATGTCTACAAAACCACAGCGGCTGGCGACTGCCAGTGTCTGGGCAGGTGTGTATGTGTGGCTTTAATCATCATCAAATAGAGCTGTGTGTATAGGTAATTAAGGTGGTGCCAAATCGGCTCTCACTCACAGGCACGAGTTGGGAATGCTCAATAACACCTCGGTTTTTGCGTCGCTTAGCAAGTGCTGCAGGCAACTTTATTGAGCTTCACGGCAAGTTTTAACAGAGTGGTGTGGAGCTCGCTCTCAGAGTCCATTACTCAGTGTCTGATATTCTTCTGAGCCCCAGATTACTTTTCCTCCCCACAAGCTGACCATAATACCAGGCTTGTGAAGCCAATGTGGCCTGCAGGGTTTGGTCTGTAACCGCTCAGTGTGCACAAGGATCACGATTAGTGTTTCACAGATCAAGGACTGACACACTCACATTTACTCACCATGCAGTTCAACTCCTCAGCCTACAGTTTATAGTCACTGCAGGCCAACATATACATACAATGTAAACTTGTCTTTCAACATTTATACTGCAATATGTCCATCATACTATTAGAACCTGTAAACTCTATCATAGACTTCAAAGACAGGAAAGAGGAATACGTATCAACAAATGACAAAAAAGTGACCACAGCTGAAGCAAGAAGTGTCAGAATTCAATTCATAAAGGTTAATTTTGTGTATAAATAAGACCAGGTGGTAAACACTGGTGGACAAGTTCTTAAAATTTACCAAAAACTCACACCACCTGCCAAGAAACCAAGTTGACATCTATGGTTACCCCTAAAATTTACCTCCAAAAAACCTGAAATTCTGCTTTGCAATTCCCCATTACAAAGAAAAGCATCCATCCTTTTTGATAAATTATGAAGTATTTAGCATCATAGTTAGTCAGCATGAGTGTCCACTGCACCTAACTGAGCATCCTCACTTGTAAAATGACTTATAAGACTTTGTTTTTTTTTCATGAAATGTCAGTTTTTTCACTGTCCTGTTTCTCTGGTTGGGTGATTAGCCCTTCACTGTCTGGCCCTTTTTAAAGACAACTACTGTACAAGGATTGGTCTCTTGGCAAGTGTGTGTATGTGTGTGTGTGTGTGCTGTGTATGTGAGGGTGTGTTTTCTGAGGTTTGGAATGATTTACACAACCCCACACTCGATTAATTCCAGTATGACAGCACAAACCTGCCTGTGTGTACACATGCTGGTCTGAGGTATTAGGCTGACAGAGGCGCACAGACAGAACAGTGTTGACTTACTAATAGATGGAGCTCTCTCTCTCTCTCTCTCTCTGCCTATTTAAACACACACACACTTCACATTTGTGTTTATGTTTCTCATTGGTTCCATTTATTTAATCTAATGCCAATATGTGCCCAAACACAAAAACTGAGACACAGGAAATCTGTTAAAGCAGTACAACCCTCCTCAGCAAGTCAGCTCATAGCGAAAATATTCTGAACATAAACACTGTTTGTTTGTCTTTATAATCGTGTACCCTTAAAATGTAAGAAACGGCATTAAAACACCATAAAATGACTCAAGATCACGGCTGAAAAGATATCGTTTAAGCTTTTAAAGGATTGGGTCTGTTATTTCAAGTGTTGAAAATCTCCATTCAGACTAAATGTGGAAACACAACACATCTTGAGCTCTTCAAACAGCTTTCCTCATGTGATCAGATTAGGTGTTTTTAGCTAAAGAGCCAATAGCTCTAAATCTAGAGCACCCTTGGTCAGTGAGAGAAAATGATTTTCCAGGAGAGAGTCCAACAATATCAAAACAATCTCCAGGCTGGATTTCCTTTCTGGCACTTAAAGCCCCACTGGAGGATGAGTATCTGGTTTACACATGAGAAAAGGAAGAACTGTAGGATGAGGACTGATAGGTAGACCCTGGTTTGAAAAATGAGCAGTGAGTTTGGAAATTGTATGTGGACAAAGGCAACCAAAAGTCAAGGGTGTATTCTTAGCCTGCCAACTACTCCAGCTAAGACGACGCTCATCCAGTGCTTATATACTCTAGTGCTGATCTTCAGACACCATCTCCTAAGCTTAAGTCATTTTCTTGTCTTTCCATGATGAAACATTTCATCATTCTCAAACTTCTCACCTCTGGTTTTCTGGATTATTTTCTTAGGCTAGCAAAAACTTTCAACCAAACTGTGAAACTGTAGATTTTTGGGGTTACTCCTGTTGGCTCTCTAGTTGAGAATTGGACTAATAGTTTAGAAAAGGAAGCTGGAAAAAAAAAAGGAATTTTCCATTGAGGCAATAAGATAATTGTTTGGCTTGGTGTTGATAATGAAGTTGATAATATAAAATTTGATAAAGCCCCTGTGTCTGTTGGATAAAGCTTGTTTAGCTCGCTTCCAAAACTGGAAAATGGGGCCTTATCTGACTGTGTCCACCAATAAATCTGGTTCAGCTCAAGGATTCTGCCTGTAAAAAAAAAACCCTTTTCTTTTGCTAAGTGCTGTCTCTCTAAATAATGTCTAGATCCTTGATGACTATTATAACGGGACAAAGGTATTAAAATCAAACATGACACAAAAGCCTCAGAAAGTACCAATCTGAAGTATAAAATCACTGTGTCCTGCAGTCACCCCCAGAATGCCGACCACTGAAGCTACATCCTGACCTCACTCTCCCATGTGGTCCAAATAGCTGACCAATTAACAGCAGCTTAACTCCTGCTTCCAAACACCTATCTCTCTCTCTCTCTCTCTCTCTCTCTCCAGCACACACAAACACACACACATGCACACAAAGGTAACAGACAAGCAGATCCAGTCACTTGCACTGAGTACCTTGCACACACACACACGCACACACAGATACTCATTAACAAAGGCTTAGGATTGCGGAGTGTGTACCCCCAGCAAAGTGTAGCATAGTCTGACTGGCTGGCCCCCCACAGAGGGAGAATACACCTCTGGTCACCTGATACCTCTGCCGCTCTGAGCCTGGATCAGCTAAGTCCACAGCAGGCTGTCAGTCAGTTACAGATACTGGCCTGAATGACATTAAACTCTGAGGAGTGTTAACAGGGGAGTGTTACCTTTAAAACACCCCAGGTATTTCATTTTAAAATAAATCTGCAGAGAAGTTAAGGTTTGAATTTTTTAAAAGATGCACATCCAGATGCTCTTAACACTGACTGCTTTCAGTGTAGCATCTTAACAAATCTATCTCACCACTAGGTGCCACCACTGGCTTCAACTCAGACCACACAGCTCTGAAAATTTCATCCCAACATGGTCTAAATATTCAGTGTTTAGACTTTTCTCCTTTTAAGATATTCAATGCATTTGAAATAAAAGTCAGGATACCATAACAAGGAGCATTGTTCAAAGTATTATACATGAAAAAATTGGCTGAAATGAAAAAGACAAAGAATACCACTCCAAAGTTTGTTTAAAAAGAAGGTTTATGTCTGCGGTGTGGTCTGAATATGAGAAATGTCTTTCTTGGTCACCAGTCTTGTGTTGTGGCTTCACTTTGTAATGTCTCAGTGGGTTTGGGCTGTGGTCAGTCAACACTGATGTGATACTGAAGAGCTGCATGAAAGGACTCAGAGGAGTGAGCTCGTAAAGAGAAAGGAAAAAGAGCAGACAGACCGAGAGAGAAGGAGAGAGACCACCTGAGTGACAAGCAACAGCTGAGCTCACACATCTGGAAACCAAAACGCAACCTTCCATTAAGTGCGTCTTTACGCACAGACACTTTCCAAGCTGAAATCCCCCAGACTTAACCACAGATTCCCTTTTCTCTCCTACTTGAGCGTAAATGTGTCTGTGAGCCTCAACTTTCAGCTTTCTCCTCACTTTTGAGTTTCTTGCTCGGTCAAAATAAAGAGCTGATTCGTTTACACTTCTTTACCTTAATGCTTGAAACGTGCTTCTTTAAACTTGATCTTAAGTAATTGTTTTCTATGACCTCAGACGTAATAAAACTAGGAAAAAAAGAAAAGACAAAATGGTTGATTGTGAAAATAAGAAAGCTCGGAATATTTCGCTCCCCAAACTTGGCACTTACCTCTCAGTTGCGGCAACTTGGTCCGGGTTCGAGTTTGAATATTCCGTTTTATTGCAGTATAAAATCACGACCTCACGACTGTGGAGGCATCCGGGCGCAGTGCATCCAGAATCTCAATTCGGTGCTTTTTGGAATCCTTAATAAGCTCTGTGGAAGTATTTTTCAGTGCATGATCGTGGGCATAGAGTGCGAAGGGGAGAGTGTTGAGGACGCAAACCAGGGTTCAGCTCAGCGCAGCTCTGGCATCAAGTTAAAGCGTCGAGAAATGACATTAACGCTGCTCCGCGTCTATTGGCTCAAACACGAGGCTCCCCCGCCTCCTCCCTGCCTCCGCCACACACACAAAACACACTTTCAAACACACACACACACACACACGGAGCAACTCTCCTCCTCATACAAGAACGCATAGTGTGAATACCCATGGCTTACAGATGCGAGTCAACACTGTCTATTTTGCGCACAGATAAGAGGTTTCCATTAGTAAAGATGTGTTAAAAATACAATCAAGTGTGATAAGGTCGGTGTAAAGTCATTAGTGGCTGCCATAGAGACTCTACATGTGGTCACCGGAGTACAGCAGCAATTATGCAACAAAATGTTCTCTGTGTCCACCTCTGAAGAGTTTTACATACAATCATACATTTGATGGGCTGCGATGAAATGCTTATTTATAAGAAAACTTAGTTCCTTTTATTCACTTACTCAATGAGCCAATACTTAAGTGTAATCTGCTGTCATAAGCCCAAAACCCCTGAAAACATCACTAGTAGGGATGAACGAATCTGCTTTTTCCCCCTCCGACACTGATACAGATATCTACAGTTTAGTGTGAGCCGACACGATCCAATTCTGATACAGAAAAGCCACGCTGAATTACCTTTTGTTGTAACCTAAAGTTTTACCACTGCCCCTCAGGACGTTTACTGTGCAGGTATTGCAAGTGGCCATCGAGCTTGTAGGCTGAGGTTCACGATAGCAGATCCCTTTGCTCGCTCCATGTTGAAAACAATGCAGGCATCCTCTCAGCGTGTTTACTTGTAGATGCCACTCACAGCGCATAGCATAGAGTTGGACTGAATGGATCGGCCCCTATGCATCGGGCTCATTGTCATGATACCCGATCTAGAATTTTCTTCAGTATCAGGACCAATACCAATATCAAATATTGGATTGGTGCATCCTTAATCACTAGTTGTTGAGGTGTGCAAACAGCCAGAATTTTACCTGATCTTTACACGGACTTTCCCCAGCTTGCCCCATAGTAAAATTTCCACAAGAAGTCAAGGTGAGCCCAAAATATTTAGAAAGATTACTTGGTGGCCATAAGAAAGAGTGGAAAGTTTTAGATGTTTGGATCTGGAAGACTGACATGGCACAACAAACAAAAACCTAAATACTGATGAAAGAGATCTCCAAGATGAGAACAGTCAGCCTGGCTGGGCCATCCAGTTGTGTGAATCACTTGCCGTTCCTTCTCACAACAGTCTGGACTTCGGCCAATTGGGAGCCCTAAAAGTGGGCGGGAGTACTTTCCTTGATAGACAGACTACTGTAACCAATCACCGTAACCAAACATCTGACGTCATCACAGTGCGCAACTGTGTTCCCTGCTGGGCTCTCAAGCATCAAGTAAAGGTTTGGTAATATTTCAACATGTGTGAGCAAAGAATGTCTTTTACGTCTTCTTCTGCGGATATGAACGATTTCTGCCGACTTTGCAAAGTCAACTGCAGAATTAACGGCGTTCTGAATGAATGGCGCTTTGAAAAGTCCCGCAGCATGTGTTAGACGTCACCATCTACACATGGACCAATCAGGGGCTGCCTTTCCCTGTTGTCAGGGGAACAGTGGAAACACAGTCACTGATTGGCCTGGTTATTTTCTGATTTCTAATACATGCTCCCAATTGGCCGAAGTCCAGACTGTTGTGGGAAGGAACGGCAAGTGATTCACGCAACTGGATGGCCCAGCCAGGCTGGAGAACAGTGAGCAATGAATTAACAATAATACAAATGCAAACACTATTGGCTTCTAAAAGTAATTTGTTATCCTCCACCAGATTTGAGGATGTGCAAGAAATAGATTTAAAACAATATCTGACCAACATAAATAAAAACACGACACCTTAAAAACAGCTCTATTGCTTTTACTGGCACATCCTTGGATCTGTCCACCCAAGGAACTTGTGCATTCAGGGACTACATACAGATTTTCAGAAAAGAATAGTCCGTCTGACTTGTCTTAAACACAAATGGAATAAGTATCTCGCTTTGAGGCAAACTGTAAAAGTGGCAGGAAGTCTTTATATGGACGGCTATTCCATTACTTAATGCAACTTTATTTGGAAATCATAGACTGTAACATGGATATAGTCCCGGTGATGTCACCCATTGGTTTCTGAAGAGAGTTTAAAAGCCAAACAAGGACAGTCTCTGTTTTAGAAACGCTGACTCTGTTTAACTTTCATCCATATGGTTTATTTTGCTGCAATAATGGGAATTTTAACATGAGTGTAAAAGGGGATTCCTTGGGCTTTGGCATCCAACTTAAGTGGAAATATTGGCTTCATTTTTTAGCCTCAGAGGTTACTGCATGATAACAAACACAGCAGTCCTGTTAACACTTATACTTTAACTTCCTGCTTCCACAGTTCCAAAGAAACTGAAAACCATATTTACTTGAACAATTAATCCCCAATGTTTACAAAGAGCTTTATATGCCAACTTTGGTACACAAATTGGAATTGATACTTGATGTTTAGAGTTTGACAACACTGAAGCTTTAATATGTTGACCGAAAAATCTTAATAAAAGGTAACATTTGCTGAATCTGGCCAGTTAAACACAAGCCCATCCAAGAAATTTGTGTCATAGTTTAATGAAAACAGTAAGAAATATCATACTTACACTCTGTTTCTCTGGGGTAACTATTTTTAACACAAGCATGGATAAACATTGAGTGAAATAAGAGTCTTCGTGAGTGTAGCTTAGCATTTGGACTGAGTTTGAAGTCTCAGCTTTGGAGTCGGGGGAGAGAGAGGAGAAGCTGTTTGAATGTCCATGAAGTTGGCAGCGGGACAGACAGGGCAGGTCAAACAGTATGGCTTATTGTCCCTGCTAGCCGGCCAGGCAGCCCACACAGCAAGGGACCCATGGACGCCCTCATTCACCCTGCTGGCTGCTGCTCTGACAACAACTGACAGCATGATTTACAACTTCATTTCACATTTTACATTAAAGTCTTTCAGCTAATATCCAAAGGGAGAGTAAAGTGGTCGAATAAGTGGTGGAACAGCTGGAAGGAACCTGGCAACAACTATGATGAAATAAATGAGGCAAAATATCCAAGAAAAACTCTAAGAAACTACCAGTTTTTGTCTGATCAAACTTCTATTTCCACATCTCGATTTATCCTCCGTGCAAAACAAACACACACACACACACACACACACACAGTTGCTCAACTCTATAATAGGGAATCAAATCATCCTTTTTATCTCTTCCTGACCATTACGTTCAAATAGAGCCGGCCTCTGTGCTCTACCTCCGCTCTTTGTGCTCGCACACAGACATCTGTAACATTAAGCCTATTTACAGCAGACACAGACAGAGCGAGAGGGAGAGAGGGGTATAAAAGGTAAGCCTATAGGCCTACACATACAGCCAGAGAGGAAGCTAAGGATCAGTGCAGTGTGGTGAGCACAAAAGGGGCCTCTGGGTTAGTAAATCCAGCCCCATCACCTTTTTTTTTTGTACGTGGAAACACGGCACGGCTGAAAGTGTCTGAGCGGCACGTTGTTCATCTCTGATCCCGTCTTTTAACTCCACCAGTTTTCCTCCTCCTTCTCCGCGTCTTTTCTTTATGAGCGCTGCTTTGAAAACAATCCAGATTGATGTGGGTCTGTGTGCTTTGTGATGGCAGCGAGAGCGATGAATGGCAAACTGCTGCGTAAAGAGGTTATCTTTCCATCAGAGTATCTGGTTCTTGGAAGGCGTGTTAGCAGAACTACACTGGCAATGGGTGGCCTTGTTAGTTATTCCAGGTTTTTTTGTAGCATCTATTGGGAAATCAAGTTTGCACTGTTGCTTTTCTGCTCTTGTTCAGTGAACTAATCATAGGACTGATCTCAAAGTTCATACTGGGTCATTACAATATTTTCAGTCATATGGCAAAATGTAAATGTACCCAAAGAATAATTCTACAAACTCCCAGTAAAACAGCCAGCAGTGGTGGTTAGGATGACTTCTTACAGGCAAAAACCACAGCCAATACCAGATTTATTATTGTACAGCCATCTGCCTCCATCAGCCAATGTTCAATCACTCAGACTGTGTTGTTAATGATGTTTTAATAACTGCACAAGAGAGTCACTGAGTCTTGTGATGACCAATTTATTGCAAAAACTCAAAAAAGTCATAAGCACAACTCCACTGAGCGTTAAAATGATTATAATTAAGCTAGCAGGGGAAATAGTCTTAGTTCATCAGTGCAATATGCTGCCAATAATCACTCTCCTTTCCTGGTTGTGACCCACCGGGCCCCTTTTCTCCGTGACCCTGTATAACCCAACTCCAAAACCTCCACACCCCCTTTGTGCGAATGAGGTAAGTGGTTCCAGATTTGGCCTTAAGGAAAACTGTCAATCAGGCTGTGGGAATCTGGGCTTTGCTATTTTGTAATGGTTTGGTCTCCCAGAAAACATCATCAAGAGGAGACAGTGAAGTGGAAAAGTGTTTGAATCATCCTTAAACTTCCCTGCTGAGCATCTCGATCAAAATAAACCAAGGACTGAGAGTCCTCCTCTCTGAGACAAAAACAGACTTTTATTCTGAAAGGTTTTATTTGTGTTTAAAACCAAGGCGTATGATAACAAAGTCTGTCCGCTCACTCACCACTACTCATACTCCTGATTTACCTGTGTCTCTCTCCTCTTTTGTTTGTTTATCTCCACATAACATCTCTGTTACTACAGGCAGAGCTGGTTAGAGAGCTGGAGGTGTCCTGTTATCACTAAGCTGCTATCAGTCACATGAGCTCAGGAAAGGTTGTATTACTTACCAAAAGGATCTACATTTACAGCGACTCTTGTAGATTTATCAATTTTATAGTCATGACCATAAATAAAAATGTAGATGATCAGTAACAGTGAAGAATCTTGTTGCATGTATTCATTACAGTCCAGCATGTGCTTTAAAGCTGTAAGGAATTCTTGATAAATTACAAAATGCACTGAAATGAACAGCGCTGCATCTCTGTGACGTACA